AGGGTGATTTCATAATATCAAGTTTGAAAATTTATTGAATACCCTACTATCAGCAAAAATAAAAGTTTGTGTATATAAATGTAACTGACATTAAACTGATTCAAAATTATTATATAACCAGTAGTCTCAGAAATTAGTGGGTTGTCTTTGAAGTTTCTGCTAATATTTGGTAGATAACATGTAAGCACAAGAATGAATGTATCACAATGATTGAAATCAGATATTTCAAACAAGGCCCATTTCTTTTCAAGCAAGATAACTGCTCCATAGATAGGTCGAAACCTGTGCAACTATGGTTTAACAAAATGGGTACTCAAAAACTGGCCTCATGAGTACCACCTTTAAGACGAATTAGAATGCCGATTACGTAGCCAATTAAATTGATCGTCCTCACTGTGAGCTATGATGGATGTCAGGAAGTTTATTCCCATGGCCACCTATCAAAACCTGGTGGAAAGTTGCCCCAGATGGGTGCAGACTGTAACTGATACAAAAAGGTGAACATCATAATATACCCCTTTGGAGTCTCTGAGTGAATCTCTGTAATACTGTGTGTTTAGATATTTTTGGTCACATAGTGCATATTGAAGTAAACTAAGAGCAATAATGTTAGACAAGCAACAAACAAGGGATGAACTGCTTATGAAAAAGGTGCTGCAGTAAAATGTGTAGGGTCAGGTATGCTTAAAGTTGTTAATTTGAAATCAAGAATACATAAGTCTGCTAACACAGAGGGAGATTGAATACTCTGACCAAGGAGAACTCAGGCTCTAAGACATATGAGCAGAAATGCTAAAAAACATCAAAATCTCTCATCCATAAACATGTTTTGAATTTTAGCTACGTAAACAATTTTGTTACAGGGTTCCCTAGAAGTTAACAGGTAAAATTAGCCTGAAACATACTTTTATTTGTGATTCATACAATAAATGCTATGAGGAGATACCATATTTCAAGCCCATATAGATAGAAGATGAACAATGGATCAATTATAAGAATGTGAGAATCTATATAAGTTACTAAAGATATATAAAACTTATACTTAAATTATACATGCTGATATTTATATTATATTATAAAAGAATAGAATTTTTTTTAAAAGAATAGAATATTATAAAAGAATAGAATTATATTATAAAAGAATTTTTGAATACCGTCAAGATTGTGTGTGGTTTGCTAATTACAAATCCATTAAATATGCACTAATTGTTTAATTGATCTTTTATGCTTATAATGCGATGATACAATTTTTATAAAGCTTTCCTATGATTAAAAAAAAAAAAATAATTGTTATCCAAAAATAACAAAAGATCAACTTTTAAACTTTAACCATGCAAATTTTAGACTGCAAAGTTTGGTAAAAGCAATGAAGCAGTATTAAAATAAATGTTTAGTGGCACAGTTACTTTTAAGGCTAGCAAAAATAATTGAGTTTCTACACATTACAAAAAAAAGAAAGAACAATTTTTAAATTTTTTTTAATAATAAACTGATCTTGCTAAAAAACTTATGGCAAAGCACTTTTAAAAACCAAAATGAAATGCAGATTTCATTCAAATGCATTATTTACAAAAGAAAAAATATTTAACTATCTTCCTGCATACAACACTAAATTTGCGAGCTAATTACTACAGAAGCGGTAAAAAACATTTAAGAAAATAGTTTTAATTATATTTATAGTGAATTTTATTCTTAATAAACATAATAAATTATATAAAAATTAAATAAATTCATTTTGTTATCTTAAAAGTTTTCTAAAGCTAAGTAACAATGCAAGGATTAGAAAACAGATGCAGTAATGATGGATGTATGACTGTATGAATTTTATATAAATGCACAACTTCACAAAGATAGCAATAACAGGCACCGTTTCCTTCTACATAATAATCTACAAAATTCTTAAAACTAAAGGCAGCTAGCTGCACATTTATCGAAAATTGTTAAATATATACACAACTACAAACCATTCTATATTTAAATATTCAAATATCTCAAAATACAACATATGTAGTACTAAAACAGATATTACTGATTGGATCACAGAATTAATTTTAAAATCAGGTAGCACATTTTACAAACAAAAGATTTTCAACAAAACTATCACATATAATACAAAACAAATATAAAACATAAATTGTGTATATATATAAGAGGAATCAGCACAAAGAAAATGCAATAAATAGAAAATTGAACATAAATAACATACACATAAAATAGGTGGGACAGCTAAACTTATGTGAAATGTTTAATGACTAGTATTTTTAAATGGTACAGTTAAGAAGTACCAAAAAAGTACAAAAGTGTACTTGCAGAGTAAAAAATAAGTAGAGCATCAACATCTTGTATAAATTTTGGGATTTTAACAATCAGCTTTTGCAGATTTTTGAGTATTTGAGCTGACTGCAAATCAAATGCATTTTACATTTAAAATAAATGGTGATTCCATGATTAACATAACATTTCAGGCTTCAGTCACGAAAATGTAAATAATTTTTTTTGACACAATGGTAATAAGGAAATAATCCTTAATTTTATGCACAAAGGTTATGAGCTAAACATAATTTAAATAATTGAAAAAAAAAAGTGTATGGAGAAAAAATATATTCATACACAGAATTGGATTAGTAATAATTTTATTTTAAAACAAATTTAAAGCTATCTATAAAATATCTAGATTTAATATGAAAATTATGTTTTGAATAATTAAAAAATATGTTTTTAATGTACATAATGTAATGAAGGAGTTATCTCTTAAATGTTAATGTAGCTAAGCACTAAAATAATTAAATTTAAGGAGATGAACAATAAAGACTTTAAATAATTATTAGACAAATATTGCATTTTCTTAAACTTATTATATGAAACATTCGAGTCTTTCGACTCTTACAATACACAAAAATGATACAACAAAAAGTTTAATAAAAAGAAATATATGATGTCTGACATTTTAGAAATATATATCCAGAAATATTTTAGTTTAATTAGTTCTTAGATTTCTTTATATGATTATTTTATAATAGTGTAGGAAAATTTTATTTGATGTTTTAAAATTGTTGAATTTGTAATATGATGAAAACCTAAAATTAAAATATCAGACTAAACATCTTTTATCTCAGTTACTTGATGTATGATGTGTGCACTGATGTGCTTTTCTTTATCATACAGTAAGCTTTCCTTTTTCCATTCAATTCAGTACATTATGTCACATATTTATCAAGATAAGACTTTTATTTGCACTTTAAGAGTAAAAAAAATTTTTTCTCCAGATTTGTGCTATATTCTTTTAATGAAATAGCATTGGAAGCAAATGTTGCAAAAACACATCGAAAAAATTGGATTAGATTTAAAGACTGTAAAACAGAAGTATGAATAAGAGTTACACAGACCATTTGGTGTAGGAAAGAAACATAACTCCAAAAGTTAAAAATGTCATATTAGGATTTTGTTTTTCATTTTGTAGGTCTTAGCATTATTATTAGGGTAAATATGTTTTTATAAACTTTGCTTAAGCTAAATAAAAGATAATCTTTTTCTCAGTTTATAATGAGCAAGTACAAATTCTAGGGATAAGTTTGGTAAAAAAACTAAGATAGCTGAAAATTGAAATACAAAAAAAAGTTATGTACAAAAGATAATTGTCAAGGTTAATAAAAAATATCAATACATGATTTTCTTTAAAAACAGTGTGAATACGAATCAAAAGCAAATCATAAAAAGATGAATATCTTTTCAGAACAGCAAAGAAGGGGAACTTTCCTTGAAAAAGCATTATTTTTCTCTTTATTTAATTGAAAAGGATCGAAATTCCGCAAAAAGCGATAAAACTACATCTTTGGAATATGGGAAATTAAATGAATATCTTAAGAAACTTCAAACGTAATTAATAATTACTGTTTCAAAACGTAGGAAAATGTAAAAAAAAAAAGCATTAAAAATTCAGAATTCATTTAATTAGTACATTCAATTATTCCACCAGAAAATACAAAATAATCTATATTCAGGACACGTTTAAAAGATATATATATATATAAATAGGGGTTGGACAAAATTATGGAAACATCTCGAAATTAACTAATCTTTTCATATTTCTCAAGAAATACTTAGAGAATTATCTGATAGCTTTAGAAGTGTTTAGGTCATGCAATTTCTTAAACCTATCAACAATGTTTAAAGCTTTCAGAGGTTTGAGGGAAGGGCAATAAATTATGAACAAAAAAGAGGGTTTTTAAATACCTTATGCTAAAATATGAGCAGTAACTGAGCAAAATTTTGTAAGACATCAACATTTTTATATAAAAAAACTATTTTTGCCTTTAGTTTTCTTACTGTAACTGCAGAAATATTAAATAAAATTAAAAAAAAATTTTAGAGTAATTTTTTAATAACAAAAATATCATTAAAAAAAGTGATAAAAATTGTGCACAATATGAGCTTCTAAAGTGATTCTTTCATACTGTGCATGCCAAGAAAATATAAATTTTATTTTTCATAAATTATATTCTGAATTCTATTAGGTAACTTGCGGAAAAAAAGAAAAGAAAAAAAAAAAAACAGATTTGACTATTCTTAAAACTTAAGAAGTTCAGTTTCTCTAGCAATTTCCCTCAGTAGTTTTTATAAATTTGAAAAGAAAGGTATGAATGGAAAGGTGTTTTCTCCAAATTTTATTTTGTACTATTGAACACGATTCAGGATAAATATCAGAATTAAATGAGACCATCTCCAATTAAAGTAAATTCCATTTCACATGTTTTCTTACCTTAAACTATTTGTTATTACATTTTGTTATATTATACAAAATAAAATTTTAGAAAAGCTATCATTTAGAGCTTCCTAAAAAAAAGTACAAAAGCTACTTAGAAAATTGCTAGAAACTTCTGAAACAATTTTTTTTCCTAATTTTAAAATATTTTTATTATTAATTAAACATTACTACAGAATTTTTTTCTTTATTTTATTGAATATTTCTATAATTATAGTAAGAAAATGTAAGGCAAAAAACAAAACAAACTAGGTTTTAATATAAATGTCTATATCTTCATAAATATTTAACCTAGGTTTTCGAAATTTTGTTAAGTTATTGCATATAATAACCATAGTAATTGATCCAAGTTACAAGCTTATTGCTATATTATTTGGCATAGGTTGTTGTAGAACATTCTTTTTTGTTCAGAATTTATTACCAATTTCTCAAACTCTTGAAAGCTTCAAACTTTATTGATATGTAAAGACATGACCTACACAAAAATAATTTACATGACCTACACACTTCTAAAGTTGTAAAGTAATTCTCTAAATATTTTTTGAGGAGTATGAAAAATGAGTTAGAAGTATATGCATACCCTCAAATCATTACAGAGTCTTGATAAACTGAGTACAAAAGAAAAAACTAAGATCCATTTTAATTTATTATTATATATCATATTTATTTCAGTTTATATATTTTAGTTTAAATTTTAACAGTAGGACAAGAAATTTTTTTGTCCGATTTATTTGCCATTTATTCCCTTGATGCAAGTTGGTCATTTCATATAAAATGACCACTTTTCTTTGAACATTATATTTTTTGCATGCATCTTAAATCATGTGACAGTACTAAATATTTCTTGTATCATATAACAGTACTGCATATAAAAGGTCATAATACAGAGAAGTAACATTCTCTCAAATATATATATGTCGCAAAAGGTTAAAAACTGAATATGAACATTGAAAGATAAGTAACCTCCCAAATTCATTTTTACTTTACTGGTTACAAGCAGAACCTGCTGAAGATAGTTAACATATGTGAATAGATTACGTATTTTAACTTAAGAAAATATTTTTCAGAAAAAGCATGATTAATTAGTGAAAACAACAAATCTACAAGGCTTGAATGCAAAATTTTGAGATTATTTTTACTTTACTGACTCCCTTTAAAATAAGGAAGATATACATTTATTTGAATAATGATAAATTATTGGTAGCAAGCTTGAGACAGCATAAATTTTATAATTTTCAAATAACTGTTAAAAAATCTTGCTCATTAGTAAGGTTCAAACATTAAAAACATCATAAATATAAGGAAATCTATTAGGAACATTAGAAGATATGACCTTTTATAGAATGAAATCAATACATTACTGGTGAAAAATAAGTTATACTTCACTAAAGTAAGCACTTTTTGATATAAATTTTTCATGATATTTAATATGAGATACTTTATTCCAGGCCACAATAAAAGCAAAGCAATGCAATGCATGGGAGACCTATAAATTATAGAAATCGATAAAAAATAGGAGTAACATTTGTACACATTTTATAGAAAGGCCTTGTTGGTTTTATCCCTGTCTTTATCTTCATCACAAAATAAATGTTAAAAAGTTACCCAAGTCATACTCACCTCAGAATATCAAGACTCTACTATAAGAAATAATTACTTCAAATAAAAAAATATTAAATTATAATAACATTCCTGAAGATTGTTTAAGAATTAACAAAAGTCTTTAGTTAATTTATAAGAATGACACTTTGGGAAAAGAAATACATCGAAAAACATTACACTCATTTAAAATCATATGGCACAGAAAATTTTATCACTAACTTTGAAAATATTTCAAAGCAATCCCAACATTTTCATTGTTAACATATTGAAGTTATTTATATGTTTGTAGCATTTTTTGAAGATAATTAACTTTTGTACAGTTTATAACTTACTACAAGTTTTATCTGCTTTAATGTGCTAGATATTAAACTACCTACTCAAAGTTTCATTAATAAATGCTATAAAGTAAATGTAATTCTCTACTTTTAAAAAATAATAATAGTATTTAAGACAAATATATAAATGATTGTGCAATTATTTGTAAACAAATGGTTTATATTAAAAAGTTTCTGACATATAATAGAATAGATATTTTATATCAATCATTAATGACTTAAGTATTTACAAAACTTTACATTAGTTTATTAATGTAATGCACATTTCTGATTTTATTGAAACAACTATAATATTTAAACAAAAACGAATGCAAGCTTTATCAAAATTTTAAATATAAGAAAAGCAAAACATTTCTCTACCACAACACCAAGCCCATTCTCTAATTTTACACAATATACCACTAAACAACCCATAATAATAAATAAATTAAGATGAATTTAATAATAAAAGCTCCTCTACTTTTCTAATAATGAAATAATTGTGCAGCTTATAAATATTTACATACTTGTTTCATGTAATGAAAAGAAGACATTTTACAAAGATTTTCTTGGTGAGCATTTTTTAAAAGAATCAGTTAAAAAAAGGTTACAAAAGTACACTTCTATGTACCATCTTTTAACTTATATAACCCTTTGCGAACATAATAAACTAGAGCTGAGAAAGGGCTGTGAAGACTTAAGCAGCCACATTCTTTATCCAGTTCCATAAAAAATTCTGTAAGAGAAAGAAAAATGTTTTTTTTTTTTAATCATAAAAATAAATGATGAATAGGAAAAAACATATTTAAAAAAAACATGTTAAACTTTTGTTTTGATGTATCAAATTAGTTATTATTCTCTAAAATAACAAATAATTAATGAATTTAAGTTTCAATACTTCTCTTTTATCTCCAATAACACTGAGCTGCTAGAAAAGAAAAGCAGAAGCCCCAACACTTTTCTGCCAATTTTAATATAAAATGATATTCTGAATAAGAATACAATTTCTGCTTTTCTCCGCCATCTTCTGGGAGCACCCCTTTACGATTAAAGGCGGCTTCATACTATATAAACATCATTATAATTTATGTTTATATTAATACATATTTGATTGTATTATACGACTCCTCTTGCTGAAATAAATTTTGCGTTACATTTTTACAGAATATCGTGTCAAATAATTCATAAAAAATTATTTAATTTATTTTTTAATTTTATCCACTCATTTTTATCACTTAATTATCTAATATTTCTCTAGCATTTTTCTTCTGTATAATTTTATCCATGGATATAACAAGTATTTTTACTTTCTTAAAGAAATTTAATGAATTTAATATTAAATAATTCAAAAGAAAAAGTTAAAAATAGAGAACTGAAATGTTGAACTTAAACTATTCTATCAAAAGTTTAGTTAGGAAATGTATTTTTTCTTCAAAAATATTGTGTATAATATTTAGAGTACTACAAATGTACTAAATTTGCAACTTTACAATTTATATAGAAGTGATAAAAAGAATTTTATTTCCATTTATAAATATCTTAATATATATTTTTTCTTACATTTGGGAATTGATAGGAATCTATCTGATTAATATTTCATACTACACAATTTCCAAATGTTGCACAACCTTTGAGTTTTAAAATGGGTACCTTTTATTATTTTGTAACCCTATAATCCATGACCATGATACTACTTCATGATAAGTATAGGACTGTGAGGGTGTTTTGCCTTTTTTCATTTATGTCTTATTTTTTAAAAACTACTACTGCCTAAAATTTTAAAAGAGGATTACATCATGTTTCAAATATATGCCTTTTTCCTGCTGAATGGCACTGTCTAGATGAAGCTGGGACACAGTCTGACATGAATTGGTAGCTATATTCCATAACATTCAAAGTCAAAATTTATGGAAGAATGGTTACAGGGTCTCAATTATCAGTGATAGACACATGAAGCTTATAGCATAACAGAGAAATATAATGAAAATTTTATTTGTAATTTCTGTTCAGAAATTTGATCCATTAAATTAATATACGAAAAATTCCAAACATGTTTCGAATCTTCCTTGTTTTTTAAACTCCCAAAAGTTTTTCAGTGTAGGAAAGTCATAATATTAATTTGTTGCTATAAAAAATATTTTAGTTGGAAAAAGTTTTTTTCCTCATCATTTCTGTAAATATCTTATTTTATTTGATCAAGATTTTTCCACGCTTCCACAGAATAACAAATTTGCACTCAAAAATATATCTTTTTTACATTAAGAAAATCTTTTTTTAATTGTAAAAAATAAAAGCTAAAGATCTGATAATATTAAGCAGTTCTCTTTGTGAAATTGCATGAAAAGAAAGAAAGAAACCTTAAGGATCCGGTTTTGCCCACCATTCCTACATTTATAAAATTTTTCTACACTCAAAATTGATTTTTTTTTTTTCCTTTTTAAAATATTTTTTTCAAACAGTTTTCTCGTTTTTTTTTTTTTTAAATTTATAATTTCTATATTCAGAATTTATCCATAACCGGCAAAAACTTTTTATTCAAAATTTAAATTTTCGTAGTAATTTCTTATTTATGATCTTGGTTACTTAATAAACCAAGAGTAGTAAAGAATGGAAAATACTTTTTACAATTAAAATTTTCCTTCAGTTTCAACAAAATAAAAAAGTTTATTGTCTTTTTCTCTCTAGCATTTGCTTTGCATTTCTTTATGAAGCATAATAGTTTTTAATTTTTAAAAATAACTACTTTAAAATAAGGGCAGATCAAAAATAAAATATGTTCTTCGTGAAAAAATAATTAATTAAAAAATACAGCTTTATAATCTTGTAACATTTCATACCTGTCACCTTTTTTACTATTTCACAAAACATTTTATTTTTTAAATGAATCAAGAGTAATGCATTAATTCATTATTCTTGTTTTAATAAAATCAATTTAAAGTTATCTTAATTAGTATAAAAAAATTTATTTAAGCAGTTTGATATTTCAATGAATGTCAATTAAGTTCTAGCATTCTAGTTCAACTTAACTTACTTCTTCTAAAAATTCTGTGTACAAATTACTATTAATATTCATTTCACTACCAGTAGAGAATATCCACAATGAAGAGCAAAAAAAAAGTAAACTGCTATGAAGATTTTCAAAGTTCTGTTCATGTGTCAATAATTAAAAATGTGTGAAAGAAATTTGTTGCAGAAAAAAATTATACAGCTAGCTTTTATCAATTAACTCCAAAACATTTTCAGAGAATTAAATAAAAGTGTCTGTAATGCATTTTTCACAATTAACAAAACACACTCAAATAGTTTATAACTTAACTAAATGAGATTGATCTTGATTTATAATTAAAAACATGTTTAGCAAACGAAATGGAATTTATAGTTAGAAACACTGTTTCTAAATAAATACCTAGGAATATATATTTGCAAAGATTTTTTTTATCAAAATGATTTTAAAAAATAATGTTATTTTACATACATTAAAAAAAATTACATCTAAGATACATAAAAATAAGAAAATTTGAAATATATTTTTGTAATAAAAATGTTTTTTTGATATGTAAACGTCAAAAAATGTCTTTTAAATATAGCCAAATATTTATCTAAAAGTAAGTTACTATCGTCTGAATGATGCAAACATTAAAATCATGTGAGGTTCCATAGTATTTTTCGCTTGAGAATAGAAATATAAATGAATCGGATTGAGTCTCTGAGTCTGCAACAGTGACTAAAATTGAACCCCACCCAATTCTTGAAACAAGTGTGATGGCGATCACTGGTTGTTGCAACAGAAGGAGGAAGAAAGAAGTGCACATGCGTTAACTCACGGCAGCATGAGATTTGTTGCTGTTTCAGTCAGTATGAAGGCTCCTTAACTCTGATAGTTTTATGCCCACAAATCAGACTTGAAGAAAGAAAAATTGATTTTTTTCACTGTTAAACTTCTTATGAAAGCCTAAGAGGCAGTAAAACAGGAACAGTAGTAAGAAGGAGGAAAATTTTGGGGGATTCTGCCCCTCATTTGGTATAAAAACATCTCATTTGTTATAAAAAAAAACTATGCTAAATTTAGCTTATAAATTGCAAAAATATTCATTGCAACACCAAAAGTTGAAAGTAAGGGCTGTTTTTTTATTCAAATAGAAATTACGAGATTAAGTCAGATTTTATTTCCATGAATATTTAAAGCAGACATTAAGTATTTTTCTTATATTCTGCAACAAGTGACCTAAAATATTACATTATCTAAAATGGACATTCTATTAACTTAAAATGGTAATTTAAAATTGAAATCCCTGAGGCAGAATTTTTTCGGGGTTTCTGCAACATACCTCTCTAATACTAATATGTTTCTGCAAGATACTTAAAAATAACAAATATACATGTTACTAATTTAAAGTAACAGAAGTGTTAACTTCAAAAAAGAAAAAAAAATAGAAAAATCAGATTAAAAAAATTTTTTTTTTGTAATTGAATATGTAATAATTTTTATTTAAATATTATGGCCGATATTCTCGCATTCGGGAGGAAGATAACACACCAATTTCTTCCTTTTTCGCATTTTGTAATTCATCATCACACTAAAAAAATTGTAAAATCTAGAGCAGTAACTACCGAAAAAAAAAAAAAAAATCGGCAGCCAAATCACGCGAATCAGACTCTTCAAAAAGGGGTTACTAAATGCGTGTTTCCATTTCGAGATTCTACTGTTGTGCTAAATAATATTAAAAATATTGGATTTTAAAAGTTATGCGGAAATCAGAAGTAATAATTGCATAAAAAATATAGAACAAAAATTTCTACAGAAAAGAAAACCAAATTTTCAACTTCATTATTCTTTATTATTCTGAAATGAAAATAGAAAAATCGCAGGCACTTTTTTTTCCACTCCTGATGCATGAGAAAGGCATCTTTTGAATATAATTCTGAAGAAAAGACAAAATCTTTCAAAAATTTCTGCAGAAAAGAAAAGCAAAATTTTTTTATTTCCTTTCTGCAAAAACTCGGTAGTGTTCTGCGACAATGTCGCCACAATTCTGCCATGGGGATTGGAATTATGATAGGTTATTTTAAAGGATAAACATTGCTGTAAAATGTCACATATCTGTGCTTAATTAATAGGCAAAAAATTTAAGTAAAATTATCATTTCATTGAATATTAAATAAAATTATCAAATAGTACGAAAAGTGCTAATATTTTTACTCTTCCATAATTTCATTTTAATTTTCCAGTTAATTAATTATGCATAAACAAAATATTACTATTATGTGGAAGAAAAAGGCTTAAAACTGTGGCAACTAATTTGTGGCTCGATTATATGTAGGCAAAATGAGGAAACAAGTTCACATCTGGGTGCCAAGAAATGCAGCCCTAATTACTCAGTTTGCTGCCCAGTCACTGTTGGTTTCCTCACCTTTAATAAGGGCCAGAAGCAGGCTCTATGAGGTCAGCTGCCATATGCTTAAGTTAGGTGTGGTGACTATCCATTGGCCTCTCCTGTTGGCTATTGTTTTGGCCGCCTGGACACGTTTTCAGTGTTTCAAGTAATGGCAGCCAGTTGAGTGTGGGAGAAAGATTTAATTATTTAAAAAATATTTGCTTATCTTCAGTAACTAATGAATGAAAGACATGTGCTACACATGACCTTGGGGATAAGTCACAAAGACTGGTTTATGATGAAAACATGTGTATAATGAAAAAAATAGTAAACGTTGGGCGAGGTTTTAGAATTTTTTTTTTTGCTCCAATACTGATTCAGCAATGATTTGTTCTCCTGAAGAAAAGGGGAAATTGAAGAAATGGGATTTTGTTTTTTATTCTTTTACATTTAGTAAAGTTTCGGATTTCACGTTATGAATAAAAACACATTGGTTTTGACAGTTATATGTCCAGTTTTTCTTATTTCTTTTCTATTGAAAGGAATAAAAAATAAACAAATCCAAACGATTCTTTTGAAATCGTGCGCTAGTTAAAATAGTATGTTCAGAAAAAAAAAAACTATCAGGGCAGAACAATAAAAATCAGGACAAAGACACAGAACAATAATGGATATTTTCAGAGCATATATATATATAATTAGTTGATAAAAACTTAAAAATGATTTTTTTACAGATCACTTAAGATTACCTTAAAAAATTCTTAAAAAATTTAACGCAAGAGAAATTTTCATAAATTCTATAATCAAGAATTTGTTCACAAAAAGATTTTAAAACATACCACGAGAGTGTTCTTCAGAACTTAGGTAATCAGCATGTTCCCAAAGGTCATGACTAAGATGCAGGTTGGCAAGGTACATACTTTGTTGCTGAAACATTTTGTACTTTTGTCGAGACACTGTAATGCTATCAGAAAACACATCAATTTGAGACTTTGTTTTCCCACTATTAGAGGGATAATTTGTACTCCAGCCCAATTCACTGCTACTATATCCACTGCTTTGAGAACTTACAGAAGCTACACTACCAGCAGGCGATGGTGTAAGAGAGCATGGCGATGCTTGATATGATGGAGAAACTTGAGAATGTTTAACATTCGATTTGAATGATTGAAGGTGTGGAGGTGATACCTCTTCAGGTAATGAATCATTTTCAAGCTAAATTAAAATTATAAAGAAAAAGTTTAGTTATCATGACAAAACAATTAGTAATTTTCAAAACAATTTTAAACTTACTTTATACTGGGAAAAAATAATAATAATCAACTTGTTTTTAAAGGAGTTACCCAGAACCAGGGTTCGCCAAGATGGGCTTAACCCCAAAAAAACTCAACAAGGTTTTCCAGATTGGGCCCACATGAAACACCCCATCTCTATAACCACCAAAGAAGAGCTTTTTCACATTTAATAATTTCATATCAATTTTCGTTGCTTCAAAATAGTTCTTTGAAATTATAAATTTTTAGTTTTATAAATTTTAACCTTGTAATTAATTATACAAAATTATATAAAGTAAAACATATTTCGGTAATCTAATTTTTGGAAATATAATTTAGTATAAATGAACTATTATGTGAAAAAAAATAAATAAAGTACACAATTAAAAAAACATATTGCTAAATATTAAAATGCTTTATTTAGCAAAAATACATTACTTATTAATAATATGTATACGCATTGTACTTATTGTATAATTTTTTCATATTGTGAACACTTAAGTGTTTGTTAAATGCATCAATGGATACACACATACATATATATATAAAGAAATTGTATGTAATAAGTATTTTATAAAATTAGACTAAAATATCACCATTTTATTTTAAAATTTCTTTAATAAAATGTACCTGTTTCCATCTACTGAAAGTTTTGGAAAAAAATCCTTGCTTAAAGATCAAATTTAGAATACTGATTTGAATATTCGTACATAATTATTATTTAAAGCATATTCGCATTTCAGTAAAATCTTAAATTATATATTTGGAATGCTTAGAAAACAAATGTTTTTCATTCATTTCAATAGTAAAAAGTATAATAGAGATAAAAGTTGATTATTTTTTAAGCATTGTAAGACGTATAAGGAATTCATATATCGAAATATACAAATGAATACACCATGTACTACAAGTGCTTTTCCTTTTATGAATGTATACAATACTTCTAGAAATTTCATTCCTGACTTTAAAGCAAATTATGTTTTTATCTATAATTTAAAACTAATTGAACAACATATTATGCTTTGCCTTTAACAAAGAATCATGTAACTTCATCATTATGTAAATCTTTATACATTTAAAAAGCAGAAAAATGATTGAAATATTTATTTTCGTAACCATTTTAATCAAGTAATTTGGTAATAATCAAGTAACATATTTTAAGTAAGTACAATATCTAATTTTTATGTTTAGTATAAATAAGTATGCATGTAGAATATATTTGAAAAGATCCACTTATCCTAAGGCAAAATTGGGTCTTTTAGTAAGAAAACCAACTTATCCTGAAGCAAAATTGGATTTTTTCAAGAAAAAATCCTCACAGGTAGGTTTTTTCCCCTTGAAAACCTGCATTTTTGCAAGCCCCGCTTAGAACTCTTCAAGAACATCTTGCACTCATTCAACATAATTTTATTTAAAAGATAACTGTTTATGAATTTGATAAATTCATAAGCATAAAAAATCAATATTTTTTTCTGGCTAATTCCAATAAAAGAATAGTTCTTACTCCTGTAAATTCTTAGAGCAAATAAGGTCTACAAACACAACAAATACACTAAATTTTGTAAGAATATGCTGAGTCATAACAAGATATTTCACTTTTTAGAGACAAGAGATTTTTCATGAAGCTGTTTACTTAAGCCCTTTATGATTGAATTTTTTAAAGTACAATTGTAAAAGTCTGCAAATAATGAAAGTAATACCATAAAACACTGAGCAATCATCCTGGAACAAATAAATGCTCACACTCTATTATTTTTCAGATCTTCATAAAGTGGAAATAGAAATGTAGTTTTTTTTTCATCCATCAACCTTTGCATTAACATTTATTTAACTAGGGGAAAAAAACGTGTGTGGTATATTACAATCCCAGTCTCAACAAAATGGAATATTTAAATTTGTGAATCAAAATCCCTTACAACATTGTGACGGCAAGTCTTCGATTAAAGCCCCAGGTATGTTTCCCAGACTGTCGTCAATGGCCCATTGAGCAGTTCTGCTGTAACACAAATGAAGTACTACTACTAAGGTAATTTTAAATTATCAGGCATGACTACAAATAATATCAGTCATCATATTTAAAAAATAGCAATTGTAACTTTTCTTAATTGAAAACTTCTCTCACAGGTTAAATTTTCAGTCAGTAATACTTTTTTCTTTCTAGGTTTTGCTGTGATAGTAATTTTAAAACAGACATTTTAAATTTATAACTTTTTATTCAAAACAAGTGAAAAAAAAGTAAACTTGGGATTTAAAACTATCATCAATAAAGATAATTTTATGATCTTACACGTTGCTGCGTATACTAACATATATTATAGGTTAAAAGCAAACAAAAGAATAATGAATAGAGAAAAATCTCAACATTTCCTTCAATTCATGAATATTTATTATGGATTAAGGTAAATGTATGCTATTATTTGCTTCCAGAAGATATCGTTTCGCTTTTATCAAAGACAAATATATTAATTACAAGAACACACACACACAAATTTGCTGTATATGTTATTCATGCAAGTAGGGAATAAGTAATAAGTTTGGTTAAGAGTAAAGATTATGTTTAAGGTATTATGAAAATAATTAATGAACTTTGACAACAAATATTTTTCATAATACTGACTTTAACGTAGGTACTGATGTTGCGATGGAGGTATCGTACTTCATCTCTTCTCAACTGATACATTTTTAAATACAGCAGAGATTGGCACCTAAGGCTTGAATATAAGAGAACAATTAATAGATAAACATATATTTAACAATTATCATTAAAAATTATTTGGTTTTGTTATTAGAGATAAAATTAAAATCTGTAACAAACTTTCAAAATAAAAATATACCTGGCATTTTATTTTGTTAATAGAAACAATATTCAATTTGTTTGAAATAGGTATTTGACCTGAGTGTTTAAAACAATACACATTGCCACAAATTAAAAGTCTGTTAACCTTGGTCAAAAACTGCAAAATATTTTAAACCAATATAGAAAAAAAGCTGTTTAAAATTTGGATGGAGATCTCTAGAATAAATATGGCACGAATATTTGGTCATAGTCAAGTATTCAACTTATTTAAAGAATATCTGGTTGCGATTAAAAATCAGATCCACCATTAATGTCTGACTAGGCGGAGTTATTTTTTAAAATATTTATTTCTACTTTAAAAATTTCTAATTCAACAATTTCTAATGATTATCGTAATGCGATTTTTAATGCACATTTTTATTTTTATGTCTAAAGCAATGGTAACATTTATGATGTCTATTTTTTCTCAAATTTATGAACTTAATCTAAAACGATTTTCACTATCACTTTTGAATAAATAAACATATATATCAAGACATGATAATCATACAATGTTGTGTTTAAGCTCTTACACAATATAAAGTACATTTCTGCCAATTCAATTTTCATTTTTTTTAATTATTCTTAGAGAGATTAAAAATTTGTAGGTGTATATTCCGCAATTCCCTTTACTTCTTACAGTTGACATTTAGGTGTTTTCATTATTTTATTAATACATTTCATTCATTTGAAACTTAAAATTTGAGCTTATAATATTTTTCTTGTTTAATCAGAACAATGGAGAAGTTATGCACACAATAATTGACTTTAAAGCAGGAGATAAGAAAAATTACTACAAAGTATATTTTGACATAGGTTCATTCAAAATTACAATAGAACATTGTAATTCCATATAAAACAAAACTCACAGCTGAAATTTTCACAATTTGTCAAACATAACAAAATCATGCTGGCTGTAGGTATTCCTAAATCTACATCGTACAAAATAAAAAATGGACCTCCAGTTAAGCCAAGGGATGACGGCATAAAAGTTCAATGTCGGGCATTCATCGGGAGTGGTAACAAACCACGCTTGTGAGACAATGTTTTCCTCACGGGAAAAGCCAGTTACTATTCAACTTGAAATTTTTTTTATTTTTTTACAAGATATTTTTTTATTATTTTTTAATGTTCTGGTACAACATTAATTTTTAAAAAATTAAGACGTGGAGAAAATAATATGTTTAGCTTGCAGAATATATTGTTTTTATTGAATTTAGTGTGTTACTTTAAGTAGTATTTGCTCAAAGTGTACCTACAAAATGACAAAATCAGAATAACCAATAAAACCTTGGATAAGTATTGTTTAATATATTTTCATTAAGGAAAAGAAAACCGTTTCAGGTGATTATATATCAATAATTTTTAATAATTACAGTGGCTCCCAAAAGTGCTCACTCACTTATAACTTATATTGAAATAGGAAATAAAAATTCAATAATTAAAATGAATATTTCACAATGGGTATTTGATAATAAGATGTATAATCTATTCTTAGCAAAACTGCACGGAATATTTTAAAAACAAAGCAAAAGTTAATTTTTTAATCAAATAGTAACAAAAATGTTACCCCACGAAAGTCATCGTACATTTAAATGTTTTGGATCTCAGAATTAAAATTATCGTCAATTGCTTTTTTTATTTAATTATTTTTCATTTAATTTTTTATTTCTTTATTAGCAATTTAGTATCAAACCTATAATAGCAAAATTATATTTTAATTTTTGCTTGCTAACTCCGTAATATTTTATTTTATCATTTAAAAATGACTTGTGGTCGTAATAAAATAGACCAAATTTGATTATTTGTCTTCATAAGAGGTAAATCAGTAATGAATATGTTAAATTAGTTTACTGTATTCAATTGAACTGTGCAATATGTGATAAAATGCTTAAAAGAAGGACTTCATATCAGAGATTAAAATTATAAATTTTGTGGAAAAATTCATAAATTTGCAATTGAGTGTTGTAAAAGTTTCTGTAAAAATTTTAAAAAAATATTCTGCACGAATTTCACCTGACAAAAAAAAAACTAGTTACACGTATTTTCAACCTTTAAAAGCTATTGTAGATGCTAAAGGAAACTCCACTAAATGTTAATTTAACGAAAAATTAGATTTACTAATAGACTGAGTTTTTTCTTTAAAAGTGTATGATGACTTTTGTGGGATAAAGTTTTTGTCACTTTTTGATGATTGATTCCTTAAAAATAAACTTTTCCTTTGTTTTTAAAATATTTCATATTGTCATTTAAAATATTTCAGTTTTGTTAAGATTAGAACACATTTTTTATCATTAAATATACATTCTGAAACATTCATTTTAATTAATGGATAGTCTTATTTCATTGAAAGTCATAAGTGTATCAACACTTTTGTGAATCACTGTAATTACATTTCAATATAAAGCTGTACTGTATACTGCATTATACTGTATTTCATCTTACCAGTGCTTTTTATAAAATTCACTGATCATATTTTCCTTAAACCAATATCTCAAGTCAAATTTTTAAATAATGGTATTTTGAAATAGCATTTTTATTTTAAGAGATTCAGTATAAAAAAATAAATGTCAGAAATGTAAAATTGTCTAATTTTTAGTTCTATACTCTATAGAAGAAAAAAAATAGATAAAATTCCTTAAAATTTATACTTTTTTGATTTTTTTTCTTATTTGAAATTAAAACATTTAAAGAATTCCAATCTAAACACACAGTTTTTTAGTTTAGCATAGTTAATTGTTTTTGTTTGAACAACTGGAATCTTGTACAGTGCAGAACTAAAACACTAAGTTTCGTTTTCCTTCTCCTGACTAAACACATATGAATAAAAAAAATTATATTTTATGTATATACATCATTTAATATGTTTCCTATATATTCCTTAGTCATTGTCAGCTTTTTTAGGTAAAAAGAGGAATAGTTTTGAAATATCATCTCTGGAATGCAAGCAACATTTACGAACTTTCGATATTGTGATAACTATACAATTCGAATTTTGAATCAAAAAACTAATATTTACCAACAAAACCGTAAAATTTGATATTAATATATAGTTAGTTCTAAAAAAAACTTTTTTCAAAATAAAAATATACTATAAAAGGTTAAAATGAAATAGAAAAAATTAGCATTAATGCAAGAATTGTAACAATTTGTCGACAAACATTGCTGTTAGTGATGGGGGAAAATGCGTGATTGGTTGGTTTGCTGAGAAAAAATAATTTACAGATTTCTTTGAATGGGAGTTCAAAAGCTTTCAGAAAAAGAGTGCAATATAAAATCTATTATTATTAAATTATAACCAACTAATTTTTAGAGAATTTAATAAAGTTAAAAATACAAAAACATTTTGACTCATTTTGTCAAATTAGAAAAAAATTACCACTCTCAATTGCGAGCAAACTTGAATCATTGTGTGAACACGGACAGAATTTAAAAACCGAATTCTAACCCTGTCTTCCACCATAATCGTTGCCTTTCCTAAATTGCACAGTCTGCATAGAGATCAAAGACATTTGCATGGGAGAATTTTATGTTGTATTCTAGTTTAACAGGGTATTAATGGAGAAAATTTTGATGAAAGCAAAGTAAGTTGATGATATTTTAACTGTTTGGAGATACATTTCCGTCTAAAAAATGTGGGTATAATGGATGAAACAATTTAAATTAAGAAAATTAGCAAATAATTTAAATTAGTGAAATTGAAAAAATATATAAGAAAAAATTTCCAATTTTTCTTTAAAATTCCCAGGTTTTTATCGATATTTCCCTGATTTTTCCAAGTTTTTTCCAGTATAAAAAAAATTCCCTGATAATTCCAGGTTTTCCAGGTGGGTGGCCACCCTGAAGAAGCAGCTATACCAATAGTCTATGAATCCAAAAGGGTCCAGGCAACTCAGTAGCAGTTCACAAGAAAAATTTAGGTTAAAGCTCAGCAAAGGTTGGGATGGTCACTATCCACGACGCATCTCAGATTACAGAGATTGCGGATAAGACTTGAAATCACGCGGAAATGACACAAGTGTTTTGGGAGACAGTCATGGCCAGTGGCGAGTCTACAATAAGCTATCATTTTACATCTGGGCCATTTTGAGACTGGAGATAATTTGTCCTTCCAAGACTTTTGAGTTGTCCTAAGAGCGAGGTTCTTTTTCTGAATTCCTCAAATGTGGTATTTTTGATTAATCGTTTTAATGTTCTAAAAGATATACTGGAAAGAGAGATTTGTAAAATCATGACACTCTTTTTCGCCAAGGGATAGGCTATCTCATTGCCATGGATTCCATAATGAACAAGGATCCATAGTAAAACAATGTCTTTTTTGTGGACAGATAAGCTTTGTAACAATCTCAGAGATTCCAGCTTCGGAGAAATAATTATTAAAAATAGTTTTTTCTCCGAAATTATCTAATGAAAAACAATTTTACAATTAAGTGTTTAAATATTTGATTTGCTTAAGAAATTCTCAGGATATGATGAAATATGTAAAAAAGTGAAATTAACATTAAGGGGTCCAAACTTTAGATCACTCTCCTGCCTGAACTATTGGGACCATATTTTCCAGATTGGTTTGATATTTAGATAGTAAAAAAAACTAATCTGCCAAAAAAGGTATTTTTATTCAGAGACAGTTCATTTTTGTAACTATAACCTGCACTAATTAATAAGAATCTTTGAAGTCACCTTTTTGAACCATTAAGATGGGTACTTAGAAAAAATCCAATCATTGGAACAAAAATTATTCAGGATGATGTCTTTTTTTTTCGTAGACTCTATAAGGAAAATACTATTGGCTTGTGAAATTATAAAATTTTTTTTCTTCAAATGTCTAAACAAGCACGAGTGACAATAATTGGGAAAAAATGTTTTAATGCTTAGGTATATAAAACACAATTTTTAAAAAAAATTATACTTATGTGACCAGGGAAGTAAAAATGAGGGGACATAGCTTATGTTAATGTTATTTTAAAATGAAATATGTAATTACTTTTTTAATCAGTGTTTGAATTACATTAGTATAGAATAAAAAGTAAAAATTAATTAACATGGTAAGCTGAATGGCAAAATATTATAAAATAAATATATATAAAATAAATGAAGTTTTTACTTAGATGTATAATATGATGTTAAAAAATAAAGCAAATTTTAAAAAATTGCAAAGAATAATATATATATATACCTCAAAACAGTTAGCTTGTTGTCAATGTTTCTACAAGATGAGTTGTGAAGTTTTTGAAATTTTGATGAAATGAACCTAAATAGAGTAAACAAATCATATGTAATAAGTATTTTGGACACAAAAATTTATGAGTCAGTTTGGAAAAATAAAAAAAGTTTATATGATACACTTCATTATAAGAAAAACAATTGTGTTTCTTAGATTGTAAAACTATCAGAAAATAATTTTAGTATAAAGCACAGTTTAGGTTTATAGATCTTGTCTATATAAATTTTATCTACATATTTATCAATGAAAAATGAGTATAAAACAATATTTAGTTTAGGTTACATCAAAACAATGACATATTTAATGAATATTCCAATGTTTTCTTGTCTAATAGCGTGTACTTTTGTTTAGGTAGTTCTTATTTACTATTTAGAATAGATAAATCATCTGAATAAATTATAGAAGTTCGACAGTAATTCACTTAACATTACCTGATGAGAGTTAATGTTTCTTTATACATGGTGTGCACTCGATCGGTATCAATATAACTATGTTCCATTGCATTGCCTGTTAAAATAAAATACAAAACTGCTTCCAAATACTTCATAGCTTGAACCATTCTATCAATCTAAGGAGTGAAATAAGTAAAAAATGCATTAATGATGCAATAAAAAATACAAAATGCATTTTTTATATCAGGTTTAGAAAAATCATTTAAAGATGAGAAGTGAAAGAAAATCCGAAAAATAAGTTACTTAGAAAATTTAAAGCAGTATGACTCTATCATAAGAGTTTTAGGTTTTCATAATCATCGAATAAAGAAATCTTACTAGAGTAAGTTAAACTTAGTTAAAGTATACTACTTTTTATACAATGAGTTTAATACTAGAAAGTCAGAGTCAACAAAATTATCACATGATTAAAAGTACAACATGGTTTTATTTAAAAGAAATAGTCAAATTGTTTAAAGACCATCGGTTCTTTTCTTTTTTTGTTACAAATATGCTATGAACATATTTTGTAAAAAGTGACTAAGTAATAATAAGAAAATGAAACTTAAAACTTACTTCTTTATCGGCTTGATGCTTTAACTTTTTTGCTTCATTGAGGTAGTACTCAGATGAGTATTGTCTGTAAATTTTAAACAAGATAAGTTAGTTTTAATAAACAATTAATTAAGACTTAAAGAAACTGTTAAAATGATTTTAAACAGAGAACTCTGACGTAATTTAAAGGTAGGGCATTCTAATTTTCATCATTTAAATCTTAATTAAAAAACATAATTTCAAGATCAATACTTCAATTATTTATTTAATTATTAAAAATAAAAATATATTTGTAAGCTTTGAAGCTTATGTGCTAAATACTTAAAAACCAAAATTAATGGATAAATACTTAAGGACTTTTTTAACTTAATTGTTTAATTTAGAAATATATCATGTATCCAACTATCAAATAAAACATGTCAAGTTCCTGATCTTTTTATTTTTAAAAAGCTGGCTTTTAAAATCTTTGCAGTTTTATTCATCACATTTTTGAAAGAAAAACAACCAGTTTTAAGTCCCATCCTATTTGGTTTTTCATTGTGATGTGCTTTTCATGGTCTGTAAAGTCAAACTGTTTAAAACAAAAAAGACAATGGTTATGTAGGGAACACCCAGAAAAAGCATTTGAGTAATAACTTTTTGACACAGGATGACAATCATATCAAATCCATCACTCCACAAATTCATATAGTTTTGTTGATCATTTTTTCAGCGTAACGTTAAGAACAAGTTTTCATGTGTTTTTCAAATACAAATGTCTTATGTGACAAAAATTTTCCAATTACAAAGTTAAGTAATCACTTTTTGACAATATATTATGATTATATGATGCAATTATGCTTTTGAAAAAATTATATTGATCCCCTTCAGAATCATGTTTTGGATATTTATAATGATTTCTATATTCGTGATCAATTGGTTTTTACATCATAAAATAACCAATCTTTGGTGACTAATTTAAATCTAAAGATGGGAGACTATGATATTTGGTGCTAAAAATATACAATTAATGAATTAGATTATACTAAAATTAGCAACGTATACACTCAGAAACAGTATTTACATAGAGACTCAAATTATTTGAAGCAGTACAAATTATTTTTTTAGAGATAGTCAATTAAAATACAATATTTTAAAAAAGAATTTTTTTTAATATAAAAATTATTAGATCTTAAGAACTTAACCATTCCTTTAAATGGCCTTATATGTATCTGTTTAAATTACGGGTGTTTAGTAGTCCATAACATTCTTTATTAAAATATTAATAAATTACTCTCGCTTCAACTAGGTAAAAATTTATTGAAACTATGTAAAATCTATAGTAGTTAGAGTCTCTGTTTACTGTATGGAGATTAAAGGTACCTGCAATTTTTTTTTATAGATCACTACTGCAAAAAAGATAATCAAAATAACAGTTTAAGCAATTGCCAATGCAATTGATACTTTGGCATGATTGTAATTTAAACTAGAAGCAAAACACAGATGATGATGAAATCCTTTTTATAAGGATCTGTTGAAATCAAAAACATAACTTCATACAATCAAAAATAAATTTGAATTAGTGAAAAGAAAAGTTACTTTTTCAGCTCAGAGTCTTGCCAAAATCTGTGATTACCAAGATTATATGTAACTTGATTTTTGAACAAAGCGTTTCCATTGTTGAAAGTGAGATCAGTGCTACTAACATGTGACCATTGATAATTTTTTAACTTATTCCATCTATCCTAAAAATAAAAAGACATACACAATATATATTTAATTCCGCAACCAAGAAAAAAAATTCATTTGCTTTTACAGAATTTTTGAATGAATTGGCACATATGTTAAAAATAATAGAAATCAAAATATATTGAAATAATAATTTATAAAACTTAATTTAAGGCCCCACTCATAAACTTAAGGAAGTCAAACAAATTAATATAAAAAGTTATTTGCGTTATATTAACATATCAGAAAATATATATATTAGACACTAAGTTGACATGGCATAAGAAAATTAACATTAAAATGATAACTTAATGGTTTGATAGTTTGCTATTGAATGAAAATTTTCCTCCTAACGTGCAGTTTTTTTTACACATTTTACATTAAATTAAAGGAAAAAATGTTAAATAATAAATTATTATTTTTATAAACAAAGCATTCATAAAACTTAAAGGGAGAACGAAAACAAATGCTTTATAACTAATAATTTTTTCTCATCAGTTATTATTTTGATTAAATTGTTATTTCGATTTTTGATATACAGAATTGTTTTTACAGTCTTTCTTGAAATTTGGGATACCGAGATTTGACTGTAGTATAAGATGGGTCTGTATCTAATACTTAAAATAAATACAGCTTGAAATGGATGAATACATTTTGCGTCAATTTCCAGCACGTAAAGAAGCAAAACCTCAAAAATTTGTAAACCCTCCCTAAAATAATGAAAAATAACTAAAGGATTTTTTTTTTTTAAATCTAGAAAGCATCATTTTAAACTGAATTTTGCAACAAAATATAAGCTCATATTCCTTTAGAAGAAAATAAATCAAATATCAATTTTCCTAGTAGTTCCTCTCATATCAGTGAGAAATGTACAATCTCACATAAGAAATAATCATTTCTTCAAATTTAGTTCCTGCTGAATTTTAACTCATCTGCAAACTTGTATTCATCTTCAGACTTGCATCAATATGCAGATTCGTATCCATTCGAGGATTAGTCTTAAGCTAGCTCCTTTTTGGAACTCAGTTCCAAATACAGTTATTGATACAGATTCCATTTGATGTTTTCCCAGACTTTCTATACAATTACACTTCTGTCTGAAGTCAAATAATATATTTATTACTTTTTTTCTTCAACTTACTGGTCAGTTGATAGAAGTTTGTTCGTGCAAGAGTCAGAAATGATTATGAAGCACCAGTCACTAGGTTTAAATTGGCCTTCAGGTCAAATGAATTTTTTTTTTCTTTTTTCTTCATCTTGCAAAATTATAAAAGAATTTCAACAAATATTTATAGCAAAACTAATTATATTTATTTAAAAAAATTTCTTTTATTATAATTTTCTCATGAACTTTTTCTAAATATTTTGACAAAAATTACAAACTATTAGCTATGTTTTAAAGGTTAAATTATGAAGATGAGAAATTTTTTATTAACTGCATTTAAATGATTTTTACAATAATTTGGAGGATAATTCCTTTTATTTTGATTCCCAAAATAGTTTATATGAGCTGGCTAAGTATTTAGATTCTTTTGAAATCTGACTTGTTATTAAGATATAAATAAACAAAAAATATTTTGTTCATTATTTAATTCAGTTTATTATTTAGCCATAATTAATATATGGATTCACGAATTTGAGACCAAGAATAGCAAATCTGCAAAGACCAAAATTGTGATGGCATGTCTTCGGATCATCCTTAGTGATGTTTCTCAGACCGTCGCCACTAGCTAACAGTAAGCGCCGCCAATAGTAAATAAACTACTACTAAATAAAATATCCTTGGTCTCCAAGGATATTTTATATTTTTATGGCTTTATTGAAAGAAACGGTAATGAAAGTGTGTTTCTTTTTTTAAAACAAATATTATTAATTTTGTATAAGATTTAAAGCAACTACTGAAAATTATGTTAAAACAATGGAATTTTCACTTTATAATAATTTTTCATCCCCCATATAAATTAAGATTGATCTGCATCTGATACTAAAAGAATTAGGTTGTTCTTTAATAATTGATACTCAGTTGTATCAGTTTGTTACTGATTCCAAGAAATTGGTACTTACATATCTCTAGTATATAGTGTACATAGAATTTGAATTCACTAATAAATGATGTTTAATAAATTTCATACAAACTTTCTTGAAGCTTGCTCTCTACAGAAACTTTATGGGCATCTTACTTTAAGATTTTTTTTTTTTTTTGCATTAAATACATAAATTTTGCAGTATCTACATGCTTTTATAATTTTGGCCAAGAAATAGTGCTTAATATGACATTAGTTAACATTTTAAAAATTGTTTTTATTTTCGTGAAAATAACAATGAGCAAAAATTTAATTTTGGCCTTTAGAATCAAAATTTTTATGCCCTGATTTAAAAAACATTTAAAATTTTGCTAATATAACATCATTTTGCAAAAATACAACAAATTTTTCCAGTTATCAGCTAATGTCCGTGTCATTTTTGTTTCATTAAGGTAACAAAGTTAAGAAGGTAATTGTTTTCTCTTTTTTGCATTAAATACATTTCAATTTTGCAGTATCTACATGCTTTCATGATTTTGATCACCAAAAAGTTCTTTATACGACATTATATTTTGTGAAAATAATGGTGAGCAAAACTCTAACTCTGCCATTTAGAATCAAAATTTTTTTTGCCCTGATTTAGGTATATTTAAAATTTTTTCAGCATCATTTCGTAAAAATAAATTTTTTTTTCTCCAATTATCAGTTAATGATTGTGTCATTAAGGTAACAATTAATTATTTCATACAAAAGCAAACTCTCTACGTCATACAAATACAAACTCAAGTCATGGGAATTTAATATAAATCTCTCAATTTAATTTATTTAGTTACGCTTAAAAATATTAACTATTTCATTCAAGATATTTTTAAAAAAAATATTACTGTGTTAATTCTACAATTTTCAGTATTGAACCTTTACAGTGACTTAGACTATTTTAATTAAAGAGAAAGTATATGTAAAGATATTACTTACATCGGTAGACAAACCGGAATCAGCAAGTTCAAGCTTCACTTTATTAATGATTGTATTGTGAGGGAAAACAATGCTTTGTTTAGAATTCTCATCTGTGCAATCAGAAATATAATCTGTGCTAGCTGAGCAAAGTTTAGGTAACTGTGCGTTATTACTTTCAAATTCAATTTTATTCAATTCATTTTCTTTTAGCGTGACTTCAAATGGAAATGCAGGTTTCAATTTAGGACAACAATCATCTCTATTTTCATCTATTAAGTTGGGACATGAAGAATCTTCAATTTCAGAGCTATGAAATAAAATTGGAAATTTAAAAATAAAAAAAGGATGAGATAAAAACAAAACATCAATACAATTTAAATTTATCATTTACAATTTCAAAGTAAGTTTTATGTTAGTCCATAATTTCAAGAAGCCACATAACTGAATTTTTATCAATGCTGTATACCAGACATGAGATTGCTGGAAGAAGAAATAATTTAATAATCTTTCTTTTAGCACTTAATTTTTTTCTTTTTGTACATAGAAGATAAATAAGAGACTCATTTTTATGCACAAAAGTAAAAATTCATAAAATTTAAGGGGAATTTTTTTTATCTAATGATTCTTTTTATCAACATATAAAAGAATACATCGATTGAAAAAAATTACATATTTTTCCTTCTCTGCACTTTACAAATTTTCATTGCATAAAAAAAAGAAAAAAGATTTTAAAAACCTTGAAATCAACAGCAATAACTGGAAAAGTTCGATTACAAAAAAAATTTCTATTTCTGATGAAATCACACGAATTGTATGCGCCAAACAGGGGTTAATTAAATGTATGTATCGATAATCATTTGCTATAAATATCATCATATTAAAAGTAACAAGATTGTAAAAAAGAATCCAAAAATCAATAGTGTTAACTGACAAAAATCTTATTGAAAAAATTATAGCATCAATGTCTTATGTCAATAATGTTTGAGTATGAAAAGACAAACATTGTTGACTGATTACCTGTCAACAATGTGTTGAGAATTTGGACCATTTTTATAAAAATTGAAGTGCTAAATATGATCATTTCAAGAACATATGCTCAAAGACTTTTTATAGATTTTTATTTATAATATTTATTGTTTACTGATGAATGAATTTACCTAATTTTTGGTAAAATAAAACATTTGTGTATCAGTACATTGTCAGTGGTCAAGTCTGTCAATATACTGATACACAAATTTGTTAACCAAAATTATGGTTAAACTATTTACAGAATTCATAGTTGTCATGATAAAAAATATTTTGCTTTTATTTGGTCTGAGATTCCTGATTGTTTTGAGTTCAGACATCTAGTTTTTTACTTACTCAAAAGCAGCTTTTAAAGTGAATAATAGAAAGATTTTGATTTTCAATCAAGCATCTTTTTATTTTAATTAACGATGCTATGCACTTAATACATGTTTCATACTTAAAATAATTTTCTGAACTAACATTTATAATTAAATTACCTACTAATGAAGAATATGTTAGAATGTTATGTTTTTACTTGACTGGAAGCAAAAAAAAAAAATAATTGTTTGCCAAGTTTTATTTGGGAGTTTTGCAAATGGATTGTGAGACTGCACACGTGCTTTGTGTGATTGTATATACGATGGTTGCTGAATTTACATAAAAAAAAAGAGTAAAAAAAATGGTGTATCACTTCACTGGTGTTTGGAAAGTATTACTTTGGGTTGTCCTGCGTTTTAAAATTTATCATACAAAGACTAATATTTCACTTTTTTCATTTGCCTGAGATAATTCGGGATAGTAAACTGATGGTAAATTAAATGTTTTTTACAAATAAAAAAAATTAAAGTTTTTGTTTAAGGCAAAATAACTTTCTTTTTAAACCTTCAGTATTAGCTTCAAAGATATGCAGTTTTGTGTTATGTTAGCATGCTGAGTTTAATATAAGCTATAAAAACATTTTAAAGAAACATAGTAATGAATTTAAAAATTATTTGCATAACAAAGGGATAATAAATATTATTTAGTATCGTAACTTATTTTGAAAAGCTGTCTACATTTCTAAATCATGTCTCACCACAGGCTAAAAATAATTATGTATCAAAATTAATTTCGAAAATTTAACTTTGCTTTAATTACTTGTTTGCAGGGTTCATGATTTTTTAAAAATAAAAATCAGATTATTTTATTTTATTCAAATCGGATTTTTTTAATTTTTATTCTAATACTTTGTAAGAACTTAGATTTAAGATTAAAAAAAAATTTATAAATGTTTAATCAAAATTAAATTAATATATAATATAACGATATTTTAGAAGCTCTAACTTCCTAAAACAATTTTTCATTATAATACATAGCATCCATTTTGAAACAAATGCATGATTGAAATTTAAAGACTAGATGAAATAGAGAATTTAAACCCCATTTTTGACATATTAGGGTAATTTCTTTTTACGATAACCTCAAGCTTTAAAAAAATACATTTTCTATTAATAAAATATAATGTAGATTTTAATTCCATGCTTTTTCAATCAAAAGGTAGAATTTTAATTAACATCAATTTTTTGTGAAAAAAATTCCTGTTTATTAATTACTTTTTACAGCTATGCAAGTCTATATTAGGACAGCATTAAATGTTTAATCTGTACTTTCAATTTCAAGAATCAAAAGATTTTTAAAAATGTAATTTCAAATGTGTTGGAATTTAACACACACTAAGAAAGCAATTTCGTTCACTAAATTAATTAATGCAGCAATTAATTGAAAATAAATTTTAAAACAAAGAAAAGAAAATAATAAAAGTATCAATAATTTAAAACACTGTTTTTCAACTTTTTAAATCTATCTATCTATATATATATATATATATATATAAAAAAAATCAATGATTTTTTTAAAAAAATCATTTGATTTAAATCAACAAACCCTGTTGTTTGTGTATCATTAATAAATATATTATAAAGTAACTGTTTTTATTTAGATATGTGAATTATTTAAAATACTTTGTTGTTTTAGGCTTGGTAGTGAGAAGAAGAATTATATTCTGTTCCAAGTAGTATTAAAGTACTATAAACATAGGCCAAAAAGAAAATCTAAAAAGTGTTTAAGCATAGGTGTAATGTTGAAACTAAGTTTTTTTTTTAGAGATAGCATCATCTTGTTTTCTGGTAATTTACATTTATTTAAAAACTGTTAATGTGAAACGAGGATAAAAGAAAAGTTATAAGCATTGTGCAAAAATTGATCTATTTCTAATTAATAAATTTCACTATGTTTTCATTTAAGTACTCTGAAAGGAGTCAAAGTTATGACATCAGCTGGAATAAAAGGCTGGACTAACAGAAAACAAAGATCAACAGGAATTTTTTATACTTTCCAGTGACTGAAATTTGGGTAAACAATTTTATTTTTAAACTTTTAAGTATGAACATTTTTTGAATAGAACACTGATGAAAATGGGCTTGGTGTATGATTTAGTGTTGCCTTATTAAAATTGAAAAATAATATTAACTAATACAATTGCATCAGTTTATATAATTAACAAAGAACAAGAACACTAAGCACAAAAGTTTTCTTTTATGCTGATATGCTAAAAGAGAGGAAAGGTTTAACTTAAGAATAAGACTATAGAAATTTGTATACCTGTTTTGATAAACTTTGGCCACCTCAAATGTTGGAGGAGTAAGAATTTCCTTCTTTATACAAGTCGAATCGTTATTCTTACAAGATAAGAGAGGGTTTACTTTATTATAATCGTCTTCAATATCATGTGGAGGATTCAGATCATCAATTTTTTTTATGATATCATTTCTGAAATTTCTACTTACAGTTTTTTCAGAAGATTTAAAATTTGAACTTTTTATAGGTATTCGATTGATTTTAGATAAATCAATGGTGCATAATATTTTTGAATCTGAATCTTCTACATTAATATTATTAGAAAATTCTAGTGAATTATCTTTAAAGACAGGTGAGTTTATACTGATTACAGGTGAGCGATGATGAATATCATTTATCTCATTTTTAGAGTTCTTTTTATTAGAAATTTCAGAGGAAGTTTCACTTTTAAGATTCATTTTCACATCACATATTGATTTATCAGGTTCATCTTCAGTGTTTACCAATGTGTCACTTTCTTTATCAGCCTTACAATCAGATAAATTTGGGCCATTTTCTGATTTATCACATAGATCAGCCGAGGGGCTAGTTATAAAACTATCAACCACATTTTTTCTTTCTGAAACTTTTTTATCTTTCTTTTTACCAGGTCGTTTAGTTTTGACTGAGTGATCTTTTTTCTTACTTTTATATGGCACACAATAAGCTGAATACACAGATGGAGCTAATGGCTCTAAAGGCACCGAGAGTCTCTTACATCCAAAAGCAGCTGCTTCACTATTAGAGATTTCATAATCTTTTTCCGAGTTTTCTTTTTTGCTGCCATCAGTTAATTTGCTCAAACGAATTTTCAGAATACCATTTTTTATCTGACAAGAACCAATTTTTGAATCAGTATTTTCTTGAGTATCTTTGGCACACGTAAAAGTTTCTACAGGAAGTTTATTTTCAGCTGAAAGGCTAGGGGAACAGCAAAAGAATTGATATTAGATAGAAACTTTAAGGATAAATAAACAAAAACTTCAAGTAAGTGTCATGTTGTAAGTAAAATTTTAATAAATGATGTACTTTGATAAAATAAAATATATACTAACTAAAACTAAATCAAATAAACAAAATAAAACTAAATTTTTAAAAATAAATCAAATATATTTAGGATTATACATGAAAACTAAAATATATTTACTTTTCATAAACAGGTTTTCGTTTCTTTTTTTTAGACATTCTTTTGGTTTTTGTTCTGGCTTGTAAATTTAGGCTATTTTTTTCATTGCTTTTTAGATCTTTTTTTAAAGCCTGAAAGAAGGAAGAACAAAACATTTAAACATTATGAAATAAAAGTATTTTCATCTTTAATAAAAGCATTGCATTTTCTAGATCAATATTTCTAAAGGAAGCAAAAATTAAAAATCCATAAATTGATGATATGTATATTTAGTATAACAGCCTGGCAAAAGCTTTTTTGAAAGAGACAGAAAAAAATAGGAGAAAGAAAGAAAAGGTATCAAGCACTTAAAAAAAATCTAAGTTTATCTTGCTTCCACATTTTAATAGTCAAAGGTAGAAGTGTACAACTTAAGGCTCGCCGGCGGTTGTCTGCTGGCAGCAACTGAATATAATAATAATAATAAAAAATAAGTAAAATTTTTTTCTTTTTGAAAAGAAAAAAAAATAGGTTGGAAATTTTGAATCACAAATTCAAGTCATCACTTTCAAAAGCTCTAAAATTGTGCTCATTTCATCATAAATCTATGTTGATTTGCGGTCACTTTTTCGGGAATTATTGCAATGATCATGTACATGGTCTTAACAGATTACTCAGGTATGCAAATTTTGAAATCAAGTTGTTTTGGCACAATTTATTTGGGACAATTTTATCATTAATCCAAATGACTTTTCGATTGTGTTTTGAAAAGTTATTGTCAGATTCTCTCACAGATTTCAGCCTTGATATTTTTAATACTAACATATTCAACTCACAAGTTTTGAATATTGTATTTTAATAGTCACTTTTGATGTTCTTTATGTGTGCTGATTTAATCATAAATCTAAGCCATTATTAATATGAATTAGTATGACACTCGAATCACACATTAAAATTTTGGAGTATTGAAGCTAAACACTCTATATCAGAAGTAAATTGTTAGATGGTTTTTATATTTATCATATTTAACAAATATGAGATTGTTGACTTTAATTTCAAATGTTTTTAAATTAAATGATAAATCAGAATAATATAAGATTTTTTACTGCATTTTCTAAATGCCAAAATGGTGTAAAGCATCTACAGATTTTTTTAAAAAAAATCTTACCTTTGAAAGTTATTAAGCTTTCCTTTATAAAATAAAACTACAATAAAAATTTTATTTTTTTTAAATACAATTCACTGGTAGTCCCTTAGGCAAAACTCCCATGTTTAAATTAATTCTTAACTTTATTAGCAATTAAAAGGAAGAAGAAAATTTTGAGGTGATTAATTCAGTGATTGTTGACTGTTATAGACCCACACATCAAAAAACCTAATTAGCAAAAGATCCCCAGGTCAAGTAAAAATATTGTGGTACTTATCTATTAATAGAACAGAGTGAGAATGTTAAAGGCTTGCAAGTTACGAAGACCATAACACTTCAACAAAGAAATTAAACAGAGAAAAAAAAAATTCTTTTGCTATTGGTAAACACAATTTGGCATTGTTTAGTTGGTCCCCACGATGACCTAAAATTCGAGAGATTTTTGATTTGATTTCAGAAGGAGGAAGATGGAGCCTGAAATTGGAAATCTTTCGCAAAATACAGGAGAGTTACAGGAGTGCAAAATTTCTTCTTCTGAATTCACATCATTTTGTGCTCATGTGGGCTGTGAACAATTCATTCAAAGCGTAAAATGATTGGCACTTTCATACATTATAGACCTTTTTTTTCTTCTTAATTCACGGCGACAGTACAACATGGCAAAAAAAAATTCTCATTCTGGAAAAAAAAATTAAGCACATTTAACAAACTCATAATGAAGGTTTAGAGGTTTTTAAACATCAAAAATGTTAAATAAGCACCTTTAAGCACTTTTTAAAAATGCCACACATCCTGTTAGTATAAGTGAATTCAATTCTCTGTAATAAAATTTAACGATACGATAATTTAATCAAATCTTTTTTAATATTATTCAAAATTTATAATTTTGAAGCACCAAATTAAGTAGAATAGATACAATACTTAATATATTTGTGGTTGGTACCCCAGTTTTACCTTTAGGTTTAGCTACTTTAGAGTTGTTAATTTAATTTGTATGGATAGAAATTCAGTGAAGGAACGGAATTTTGCAGATTCCCAAGAAAGGGGCATGTCTTGTTGTGAATTATTCATTAAATTATTGTTAAAACATAATCAATAGAAGAGAATATAAGCACTCAAACTAATTTTTGCATGTGTAAATTAAAAAATAGTAGCAATAGTGTGAAACTATAGTTTTATATTAGCCCACTGACTTTTAGCAAATGGGTAATATTAGGAGAATGTTTTTTTTCAAAACACTATTTTCCCATCTAATAACAAGGAAAAACAGGTTTTGTTAAGTGGCGAAGACTGCAGTTTCAAAATACGACTTTTTACATGCAGAACTTTCAGTGAGTTACATTTTAAGAGGACCGCAAATATTTCCAATTGCTTTCAAAATTCAAACAATGTGGAATTCTAGTTTCTTTTCGAAGTAATAGTTGGATGATTAAAAGAAAAGACATAAAAGATCTAGCATAATATGATTTTAAAAAGCCTTAAAAAGCTTCTAGATTCTATCAGCTCGACATTGCATAAAATGCTGCCATGGGAGATAAGATGCAAGTTCAGACACATTTATCTAAAATTGCAAATGTATAATTTAATGATTAAAATTGTAATAAAACATATAATTTATAAGTATTTATAAATAATTAAAAGAACTTACCGCAGCTTTAGGAATTAAACGATTCAAATGTGAAGAATTACATGACGGGGATGATATATGTAATAATGGAGGTGAATCTGTCCCAGGCACTTCAGAGAAACTACAGAAGGAAAAATATATTTAATAAAATGAAAAAATACTATAGAACATACGAAAAATACTATAGAATGAAAAAATATATACCATAGAAAGAAAAATATAAATTTGACACAAAGCCTCTCAAATAGCAGGCAATAGTAGGAAATTTTGCTACTGGCCAGTTGTAGCCTTTTTAACAGTGGCCACTTTTTAAAACATGTGGCAATTTTTTCAAAAATCGAAAATTTTAAACAATTAAAGAAGCTGTATTATATAATGTAAGATATTAATAATAACAGGCATTTCTTTTGAAGTATTTCTTAAAATATATTAAACATTACAAGGTTCATTTTGAAAATGACGAAAAATGTTACAAAACAAGAATTGTATAAAATAATTTTGAGAATATTGTAAAAAATTCATAACAATTCCATATTTAAAAAAATTATATTAAATGCATGTGTGCTGCATTCTTGATGAAAAAGAAGCGATTAGGTGGTGACCAGAAGTCAATATTTTAATCATTATTTGTAATATTTAGTACCCCTGTAGTTGGTGACAACTGTTGCCCTATACTTTCAAATGAAAAAAAATTAATGTAACAAAAAAAAAATATGCATGTATATGTGAATAAAGTGACTGAGAGAAACAAAATTGCTGATATTGAGCAATAACTATGAAAGATAACAAGCAATAACTGAAGTGTTTAGACAAATTCAGGCAATATTTTAGTAAATTTGCAGAAAATCAGCTTTAGAATACATAACAATAAAAAGAGCCTGTGTGTAAGTAAATTTTTATAAAAAAGAAAACCATTTTTTTTAAAAATAAAAAAGACTTATTTATAGATTTAAAAATGCTTGTTTTCAGACTTTAAAATACTTGACATTTGTGAGAATTTGTAATTATCATTTTTGTAAGGTTAAAAAGAAACAAAAACTACCAGGTTTATTGTTTACAAGTTACATTAAAGAAAATAATAATTAATTATCCTGAATATGGTATATAATTTAAATAATATTAATGTTTGATTTAAATTTATCTTAAAGATTAGGGTTTAAATATAATTTATTTGAATAATTGCTTTCAGATAATTTTTAAGAAAGTGCACACCTAGGAGGTTAATTTGATAACCCATCTATGTTAAAGTTAAACATAACCTTAGTCAAACTTTCATTAAAAATTAACCTTTCTGTCTCAAAATATAACAAACATTTAATTTCGTATTATTCTGTATACTGTACCAAAATTCCTCTACTCTGATACCTCTACTTCAAACAAAAAGAAATAAATCAAAAATTTAAAATTAATTTTAAAGCAACAAATAAATTAGACTAGAAACTTAACAAACCTATCAAGATGAGCAGCAGGAAAAGCTTTCAAATTAGGAATCTGAAAGAGAAAATATGACTTATAGAAACAAAAATTTTTACACTGCAGAATTTTAAATATGTAGAATTGAGAAATTTAGTACCTCATCTTCATCTTGTTCAGTACAATCCCTACAGAAAAAAATTGAAAGATATAAGCATTTAGTACAGTTATTTCAAGTATAATAAGAATTTATTTTTTAAACTCAAAGCATGCACAACACAAATACAGTACAAAGTCTCTCATCTGGACACTATTTAAGAATCAAAATAAACAAGTTCCTCTTCTATTTTTTTAATGTTTGCAATCTGTTTTAAAATCATATGTCGAAAAGGTTTTTATTTGATCTCACTGTGCTTAGGACAGTTAAACATTTATACTGTTTTAAAGAATGTACTTAAAGTGTTGTTGAAAAGACAAGAGCAGATAAGGAATAAACTATGAGTATTAATGAAGATGAATATTGGTCATGTTTGTAAGAAATATCTGCAGACAGGCTTTGTTTGGATTTAAATTATTAATGTTTTCTTTAAAAATCTACCCAATTTTGTTACTTGTTTCATAACATACTTTTTCTAAATTCTGTTTACTTTATCACTTATTTTATGCAGTCAATGCCCAATATAATGACTCCCATGGCTCATATTTAAATAGACATTGTAACATGAATCATTATAACACGCGTACACAAAACAAATTTTTATGCATAACTCATAAATACTGGATTTGTTTTTAAAAGAATATTTTCTTCTATTCACACAATTCAAAATTTTCAATTTCTGTCTTGCGTACATGGCATATGATTACAAGTAGCCATTTTTGCTAAATAACATACTTCCAAAGAAAAGGCGTTTTAATTAAAAAATAAACCCCCTATTACAATACTATATAAAAAAAGAATGAATTTATTGAACCCCTTGTAAAGAAATTTACTAAGGTATGAACACATATAGGAGACTCAGATGCAATATAATTCTGAAAAATGAAAAGTAATCGATATGCCATTACCTTTTATTACTACCACAAATTATGCTTAGGACTACCTAAGATGAGAATAAGTGGGCCCAGTCGCCTTTTTTTCATTCATAAAAAATTTAAAATGCTCACGCTTATTGAGTAATAACATAAAAAGAAATAGTAGTTGGAATCACTTCCTGAATATTCATTCGGAAAACGCCAAAATATTTAACACCTGTTTCTGGTATGATTTTCACAGAATTAAAAAAAAAAAGAAACCAATTTCAGTGCAGATATTCTAATGGGCATTAAGATAACATTGCATCTATAGAATAACAAATAAGGCTTCATGCATCTGTCCTTAAAAGGGAAAGGTCGGAATAAAAGTCGTATTAAAGAGCATAGACTGTAAATTTCTTTAGTGACATTTATTTCATTATATTAAATATTTAGTTTATTAAACGTCGTTTAACAAATAACAAAAAGTTCTTTATATAAAAAGAAAAATTAGTTATTATTTGCTTATAAAAATAATGTAAGTGTTGATTTTTGTTTACCTAAAAGGTTCAGAACTATCCAGAAAAAAAATATTTTTCAGACTTACCAAAGTTCTGACGACTTACGATACATGACTTTCCTTTATAATTTCCGAAACATAACTAATATGCCACTCCTGTAACATTTGTAAAGAAGAACATTTTAAAGTTCCAGAAATACTTGAATCTATTCCATGAAATGTAGAAATTTCTACTACTTTGAAGCCACACGTAAACCTTTCTATTTACATTTCTAAGAAGATTATAACTGGGTTCGTACGCATTTTATGATTTAAAAATTAAGCACTTTTAAGTACCTTACCCAAAATCATTAAAAAGTATTTCACAAAAAATTGCATGGTTCTCAAACCCAATATATTTAAAATTTAAAAAGGAACAATTAAATTAAAAAAATTAATTTCTCAAATAAAATTGCATGCTTTATTAATCAATTTTAATATGTCAATTTTCGCATTTTGAATCATTGTGTGTCTTAATAATATTGTATCAAAAAATTGTGTTTTCAAAAATCACATGGAAATGGCAAAAAAAAAAAAACAATAAAGATATGACAACATGGTGTTACAATAGAATCATGGCAAATTGAGAGTATCAGAAAGTTATTACGTACTACAATACAAAATTCTCTAGCCGTAATAATATCGCACTTGAAAGATTGAAAATTAGAAGAAGAAAAAATCACTTAAAAAAGGTTATTTGTTAACCTTATTTGCGGTTTCCCAAAACAACAAATAAACTGCCAAAAAATTATCAATACACAAGGTGGCATTACGATAGAATTGTCAATAACAGAGCACGTCACAAAGTGATACCTTCTATTCGGAATAAGAGTGTCATTATAACATCATGCAAAAAACATCAAAATTTGAAAAAATATAAGGAAATGGTAAAAAAAAAAAAAAAAAGAATAAATAACTGCAGAAAAAACAATTAGAAAATGAGGCGGATATACGATGGAATGGTTGTCAGTAGAGTGCATCAAAAGAGACAACACATAATTGAAATTCGTGTAAAATGTTAACATCAGTATAAAATATCAGAATTTATAAAAAAAAAAAAAAGTCTGATGGTCGAAAACAAATAAATAAAGAAAATAAAGAAAAATAACCATGAGAAAACAACATCCATTTATATTGAAATAGCAATGAATCAAGAATGTCAAAAACATTCGAAGCAATTCAAATGTAAAATTTGCAAGTCGTAATAAACATTGAAATTCTCAGTAAAACATGGATTTACGAAGGCCTCATTGCAAACTAAGATAACAGTGATAGCACAAAGTTAGAAATTTGTCTAACATTTTAATAACATAGCATTGATAAAATCATAGCAAGTTGAAAACGTTGGGGAAAAAAAAAACTGGAATCTGGATGGAATTGTGGGTGTTAAAAAGTGATTTTTGAAGAAATCATTACAGTTTGAACAGTAATTACTGAAATTTGAAATTCACCTGTTGTAATAACATTGCATTAATTAAAAATATCGGAATAACAGAGTACCCACTCTTTCAACAAAGCAAAAATTAAACACTTTTAAGGACTTTTTTTTAAAAAAAAGTATTTTTTTGAAAAATTAAGGACTTAAAAAGTAGTATAATTGCTTATCATCGAATATACATATGCCACCAGTGACAGTGCAAATTATTTACCTTCCTAAAAATATCAATCAATAAAATTTTTTTTATTTTATTATAATGTAAGCACTGATATAATTGTATTAATTAACAGGGCTCGCCATAGATGTACCAGGCAATTTTTTACAACACACCCGGGTCAGTTTTGTTAAAAAAACATTTTCAGATTGTTAAAAGTTAAAGCCATTCAGATAGTAAAAGTTAACGTATGAAACTGATCTGCATTCCATTTTTAATGATTTCATTGAAATTGAATTGTAAAATTAAATGCAAAAATTAAGTTTTGCAATTTTTTTCATGTATATTAAAAAAAAAGAGAAAATAAAGAAATTTGGCAAAAACATTGAAAAAATTATTTCAACAAATTTTTATTTTATATTTTGCTACTAGACCAGCAAATTTACTTCAAAATTATTTCCAGCAAAACCTGTTATAAGGAATTAACTTTACATAATGTAACTAAACATTCTAGCGAAAAACACGAACTAATTTTAAAGCAACTAAAAATTGAACAAAACTTAAAAACAGTATATTATGTTTGTTACAAGGGAGTGTGGAGAACTAACTCTGAACTTAACAGGATATTCAGAGAACCGGACATTCTGAAGTACCATAAGATCCAGCGCATGAAATGGGCCGGACACATTGTAAGAATGAACGATTACCGAACAACTAAAAGAATCTTTTTGGCAAGGCCAACTGGAGTTAGAAAGAGAGGCAGACCCCGACTGAGATGGGCGGATTGCCTCCAAAGGGACTTTACCACAATCAAGGTCAGAGACTGGAAAGCCGTGGCACGCAGAAGAAAGGACTGGTGCAGTCTTCTTGAGAAAGCCAGGGTCCACCCAAGACTGTCGAGCTACTGATGATGATTATGTTTGTTAACTGAATAAAATGATTATTAAAATCTAAGGATATTTTAGTTGAGTAGATTTAAATTTTTTATGTAACAATCTGCTTATCAATGTAACAATCCACGTTTTACTTAATTCCTATAAGCAAATTCCTATAATCTTAATTCCTATATCAATGAAAGGACATGCTTTCTTCCCACACACATAAATGTTCGTCTCTGTAAAATGTTTTACCTTCGATGCATGGTCGTATTCTAAGTGATAAAAGAACGACATTTTGTTTTAAAAAATTAAACTGAAAAATTGTTCCTATCAACCATAGTGATGCAAAAAAATTAAGAACATTTATAAACCTTGAACTCAAATTAAGTACTTTGAAAGGTATTCCTCCATTATCTTCTAAAAAAAAAAATTAAGCAGTTTTTAAGAACCGTGGGAACCCTGAATAAGGAAAACTATGTGGAGCGGGATGAAAAAACTATAGGAAATCAACACGGATTTACACTAGAATCGGTTTACTGGAGTGGATTAAGAAGTTTAAACCCAAATTTGAAATTTGTGTTATAATAACATCATATAAAAACATTGGAGTTGGAAAACCCATGCGCAAATTAAAAAAAACAACAACTGGAAATGGCAGAAAACACATTATTTCAATCTCGTAATGACATATTAATTAAAAATACTGGAATTTAAAAACCTATATGGTAATGTGTAGTATATTTATAATGGAATCCAGTGTATCAAAAAGTCACTCAAATTTAAAATTCATGTGTGATAACAACATTGCAATTATAAGAAAATTAACGTGGAAAGGACTGGAAAAACTATAACTAGCTGCCAAAAAAACCATGAGCCATGTTGATTTGTTGAAATGGATAAAAAGTGATAGGAAAATGGAATAGATTCACCACGAAATCATGGCAGATCGAGAGTGTCAAAATGTGATTACTCAAATTTTAAATTTGCCTGTCAAAATAACTTAGTGTTAAAATCTAAGTTTGAAAACCATGTAGAAAGAGTTGAAAAAACTATCAGCCAATGACTTAAAATTATAATTGAGAAATCGGCTGAGCACAAACCCTGTATAAATAATGCAATCCTGTTTAAGTTAATTTTGAGTTACAAATCTAAGAAAAGATCAAACTGCTATAAATTAATGATAATATTAAATGAAAAATTATTATACGATTACAGTGAAACCTCCTATTATGGACACTCCTGCAAGACGGACGCCTCTCAATACGGACATATTTTAAATTCCCCGGGAATTTTCTATGAATATACCATTATATACATTCTCCGCAAAACGGACACTCCCGTAACCGGACAGTCATTTTGGTCCTGAAATGTTGTTTTCTATCTCTACAAACCGGACATTACTTTTTCTAAATTTGAAAAAGGAACTATTTTTGCTTTAAATTGCAAGCTAAAAAAAAAAATGCAACTTTCACCATTTTTAAAGCATGTAAATAAAATTTTTTGCCTTATCCGTAACTAAAAACATTCTTTAGCTATTTCACCACTGAAAAATCAATCTTTCACCTATCTTTGTAAAGAAAGGAGAGAATACTGAACTCCTGATATAATTCTGACATCGGCATCTTTTGATCTTTTCATCTGGACCACATAGGTCATGAGACCCCTCAAGCTGAAATGACATCTCTCAATGCTTCTTTCCCATTGAAAATTTCTTTAATTTTCTTATAAATTTGAAGATTGAATTTAACACAACTGGGGTAAAAAATAGAGTTTATATAATTGATAGCTGATCAATTGTGAATAATCAACTCCATAGGTCCTCATTATTTACAGGTATTCATTGCTTTTTTTCTGAGAATCATGGGAGGTTTTTTTTTTTTTTTTTCCAAGAAGGTATAACCATGGTCCCTATCAAATGATAAGTAGGTGTAAGGGGATGTAAAACTATTAATTGAAACGGACTGAGGACAGAAAGCTCCCATTCGGTACCATATGTCTAACTTGCTTATCTATGCTGATATGAAAATTATATTTATTTATTTATTTATCTGTAGCTACATCCAGAATTATGTATTTATATCAAACTTCTTTATATATTCTTTTTTATCTTTCTTATTGCTTAAATAAATATTCTTGTAGATATTTATAGTATCCTTGTAGATACTATTTCATTATTTCTACATCTTTGAAAATATTGTAAAAACAATTTAGGGTGTCAAATTTCGCTATTAGGGTACCCTTCCCGTAAACGGACAACTCTCATAAACGGACAAATTTTTTGGTCCCATGAATGTCCACGTAACGAAGGTTTCACTGTATATATAAAAATAACCCTACAATTTTTAATAATATATTAAAATGTTAACTTAATTTAGCGCACCCTCATTAGCAGAATAAAATCCCAGACATGGTAACAACAAGGATGATACCTATCTATTGGTATCCATTATTGACAAACACAGTATAGGGTGCCAAAAATACAGTACAGAACCCGTTATCCGGAAATCAGAAAACCAAAAAACCGGAACGAAATTCGATAGATTTTCGTGCCATTTTTAAAAAGAAAATTTTTCTTCCTCATAAGATTTTAGGATTTTTTTTTTCTTTTTTGAAAGATATTTACCTTTCCATCATTTTGGAAATAACCATTAGTGTATTCCTTCATTGTTTTTTCTTCTTTTTAAGATTATTTCCAAAAAAACATTTTTTTTTTGTTGGGTTTAACAATTAACAAACGGCTTTTAGTGCGATTCAGAAAACCGGAAAAATCAGTTATCCAGAACAGCGATGGTCCCGATCGTTCCGGATAATCGGTTCCCTACTGTATAAGTTACCTATCAAGTATATGCTACCAATACTTATATTTCTTGTGCTACACACATCTCTACCAGGATTCAAACTGGCTCCTTATACAAGAAGTTAAGATTTAAATCATTAGACTACCCAAACCAATTTTTTTAAAATCTCTTAAAAATTTAAAACTACTAAAAATCAAAACAAGGAAACATAATATATATATTACCTTTAATAAATAAATATTACCTTTGTATATCTTCATATAATACCAGATCATTACTGAGAGTGGAAGTTTCTGTTGCTGTTGGGAAGAAAAAAATTTTTTTTCGGGATAAATTATAAATTCTCAACTGTGTTAAATTTAAACAAGCACATTTAAAATGAAAATTTTTAACTCTGTCTCACAGGCATGAATACATTGGCATTTTTTGATGGGTAAGTCAGTTGACCAATTGCTTTAGAATGTGACTTGAAATGCAATTTTTAGTTAATAACAAACTGTAATAATTTTAAACTAAAAAGTAGTGCAGTTGAGAGCAGCATTTACATACAACATCGCTGAATTTTTTTCTTCCTAACTTCTGATTTTTTCTGCTTTTCTGAAACTGGACATATCTTCAAAATTAATTGGGCAAAATTAAAATATTTTGAACCTAATTATCACATAAATCATAAATATTCTCCTCATTATTCATCAACAATAATCTTAAATGCTTTTTCTAGAAACAAGGAGTTTATAAACTATATGATTGACAATTTGAATCAAATTATTTATAATAACTTAATATTTTTCAATCGGTTGATATAATTAGTTAATTGTAAATAAAAACAGTTTATTTTGCTTCAATATGATTAAGAGAGTACTGTAGTATACTTAAGAAAACCTGTAATGGCTATAAACTCGCAAAAAATATGCACAGTATATCAGCCTTTAAATGTTTTAATTTAAAGAAATTCAAAAAAGACACTCTTAAATTTAAGAGTTGAACAATTTTAAATCAGTACAAAACTGGATGTAAAATCACTTTAATTTGCAAGCAGATGAATCGAGCAGTTAATACAGCAATTTTAAAAAGTTATTATATAAAGAAGTTTTGTATAAAATGAGCAAATACTTTAAAATACTTACTAAATACAGAAGTAGCTGTCTTTGACTCCTATATATAAAAAAAGGGAATTTTATCTTTAATAATATTCATTTAAGATAAAAGCACTAATAAAACTGAAAAGTATCAAGACTACTTCATAGTGTGTACGTTTTGGATTTATGTTCTAAATAATGATTTAGACAGAATGATAAATATTTGGCAACCAATTTTTAGACTGTTCTAACATTAATTATTTAATAAATATATTCTAGCAGTGCATTTGTAATTAAATATTAAATAAGGTGATACATTGTATTGTGCATAACAGAAAGGAAAAAAAAAGTCATAACAAATTTTTTTTTAGTACTACAAATTAAAATAATTTGATTCCAACCTAACTTGTACAATGATTCCGTTAGACTTTGGAAAGTAGACATCCTTTCAACCCAGAATAATTAGATTATAATTAGACAAGGCTCGCGCTAAGGACATCAAATAATTAGTCAGTAAATGAGCCAAATACCAAAAGTATTAGTCAAATTTAAAAATTCTTAGTCATAGGCAAAATTTTTTGATTGACTTTCTCCCGTAGAAAACTTCAAAATACAAATTTACTATAAATTGAATTATTTTATAAAACGCAAATTCAAATCAAGTCATTTTGCTGTTGAGAAGGAGTAAATTAGCAATAATTGGGAAAGAGGATGAAAAACTTAGATGATTTATCATCGTTGAGGAAAAAAATAGGAATGGATTGGGGTTAATTTTTGATAAGTTATAAGATTAGAGCAGTAACATAAGGATAAATATGAAGCAACATTATGTTATTGTCACACGAAATTCTAATTGGTTATGCATGATGCATCATATCTAATGGAAATTACTGCAATCAAATAACAAAAATACAGGATTTGTTCAAAAAATTCCTTCTGACTGTTCCCCCCCCCCAGGATTAAGGAGAATATATATTTTTCTTTTAAGTAGAAAAAAATCATTCGCCAAAACAGAATTTTTTCACCTAATTTAAGATTTTTAACGAATTTGGTGATGTGGCAAAAGCTCAGGGCAGGCCCTGATTAAAACAGGTCAAACACTTGCGCCAAGAGAAATCCGCCACATTGTTTGATAACCATCCTCTGGTGTTAATACAGCAGAGGGAAAAAATGTTTCTTTCTTTTTAAGTTTGGTTAAATATTCTGAACAAGTGGACTAAGTAAATCTGCTATTTATTAATTTTAACAAATGGTTCATAATTTAGTTTCTTTTATTTTGAAAACAAAACTAATAGTATTTTCTTTTGCAATGTGAAGAAAAAGATAAGTTCAATTATTTATAATTTACGATACTGGTATTCCACAAATATTTCGTTAAATACAATTGTAAGGTAACAATTTTATTGTAAAATTCAAATCATTTAAGATTTTTGTCGTTTTCATCACTAAATTTTAGGGATTTTTCTAATAAGGATAAGAATTTTAAGGCAGAACTACTTTATTGTCGAGATAATTATTGTATAAATAAAGCTTTAATACTAACTTCTATACTGTCAACCGATTTTGAGCGGTTAGAAGTACATCCCTTTGTTCTTTTTGCTCTAATTGTCAGCATAGGATTATAATCAAGAAGACTAATTCGTTCTTTGCATTGTCTCTTTAATGAGCATCTGCGAGAACTGGAGGTAGATGATTCTGAAGAGTTATTTCCGCAATCGTCAACATAATTCAGAGTCTTTTCTGGAGACTGAGCAACAATCAATGGAGCAACATTAGTTTCAATTATATCTTCAAGATTTTTAGTTTCAATTTCTTTTTCTAAATTTTCTTTTTCGTGGCTTGGAAGAATACTGCTGGACTGAGAAAGATTATCAGATGATAAAGTTTTATCTTTTATGAATCCTTCTTCACCACTGACTATATTACATTCATTTTCATGCACATATTCTCCTAAAGTGGATTTGATTCGACGAACCATATCGTCTTCTGCCTTTGGATGAACCTAGAAACAAAGATTTCATTAGCTAGTTAGCAAGAAAATATATAAATTCATAAAATATGCATTTCTGGTAATGAAACAAAAACTATCTTTAGTTAAAATTTTAGACCATCTTTAAAATTTTTATGAAATTAACTACTAGAGGAAGTAAGATATAAAAAAAAGTTTTTTCATGTAATAATTTTTGGGTGAAAGAATTCTATAGAACAAGTAGAAAAAATTATATAAACTTTATATACTCTTTCATAATTTTTGTCGCAACTTTTAAAATTTTTAATTTTTCCATAAGCAATTGTAATAATCTTACTAACTTTAACAGAGCTAGTCATATCTCTATTTATTTTTCACTTCATAATAATTTTTTTTTTTTTTGCCCTCGAGCAATAAATTTCATTTTTTTTAATAAAATAGTTTCAACATTGTCCAACATCTCAAAATGTTGAGAAAAAAAATTCAAACTTCAAAAGATTCAGATTCCACAATAGAAGTTTTGTTAACACAAGCAGATAAAGAAATTTAGTCAATCCCGTTCTTTCATTGTGGTGTAACTTCATCATTTTGAATTAATTATGAAAAATAAGTTGCCATAAAAAGTAATGTTTTTGTTGAAAACTTCAATAAAAAAAAATTGGGAATACATTTTGAGAATGGAACTCAGTCCACTGATCTTTACTCAAGACTGATAGGATTGAAGAGTGGTACATATGCTTTAAAATGCACCCCTTTCACGAACTCCCTGGTTCTGTAAAAGGTGTGAAGTTTTAATTAAATGCATTTAATTTAAATTTCATACCTTTCATTTAATTCAATGCATTTTATTAAAATGCTTTCCATTTTATAAATGTGATACAATTATGCGTTAGAAAAAAGCTATGAATATTAAGTGCTTGAAAGAAAAAATGTCGAAAGGCTTTGTCACAGATTTATTTAGAATTGCATCAATCAAATTTTTTTTTTTCATTTACTACTATTGTTATTTTTTTGTTAAAGAGGATTGTATTTTTAAATCAGTTTTAATTCTTGGGCACTAGGGGTGCACAACTTTTATGAATGAAGGGCCACTTGCACAGCCGTTTGATTAATGAAAAGTCACATTCCTAAATATTTAGACAAGCTGAGAATAATTAAAGCAGACATGAGATTACATAATTTAAAAAAAAGAGAAAGCAGGAAAATATTGCAATTAAAAATTTATGATTTATACATTACATCCTTATGAGACACGATTCAGAGAACAAAAATAAAATTTTGTTGTATGCAGGGTGAAGTCAAGATATTTAAGCTCTCTCACCATTTTAAAATGCATTGCAGAAAATATGTCCCTTTGACTGTTTTGAAATATTTTACTACATCAACAGTGGCCAACGATATTCAGAAGAAAAAAAATTCTTGTCATTTCTTTGATTTACCCTAACTGATTTTATTCAACATTCCTGATTTTTTTAAAGTTACAGTATAAATTTTATTATAAACTTTTTAGTTATAACTAAAAAGCATAAATGCTTTAATCTTAAACATAAAATATTTTAAAAAACAGTTATTATTTACAAAATACTATTAGGGTTGAAAAGAAACAATTAAAAAAAAAAATTATTATAATAGACCAAATTTTTTGGGGAAACAAAATTTTGACCTTTTAGGTGTCTAATACTCAAATTAATTAATTTCTCCAGATTTTTTTGTATCTTAATTAAATTCATTGATTTTTCCAGATTGATAAAATTCTATGTTCTCTCTGGCCACAATGAATAATTTTTTAAAAATAAATTCGACATTTTCTCCATTTGATCAGCAACGATTCGAAAACCACATGATCTTGTTGATAATTTTTTGGCAGCTATTAATATGAATTAACAGGCAGTTTTCAAAAATAGGTGTTTTCATACAACATTATAATATATCATGAAATATTGAATCATGCAATGATGCCATTAGTTACCAATGATTGAAACCAACACAATTTTTTCAATTGCTTTCTCGGCACGATTCTTACATGGTTCTGAAACTCTTGCATTTTTAAATGCAATATTGGTACAGTGAATTTTGAATCAACCATTTGAAGAACAATCTTTAGATGTACTAGTGGTGGCCAACCTGCAGCCCGCCCTCTGTTGATGTGAGACCCGCAAAAGCATCTGAACAAAAAAAGATTTTTCTTTGAAAAAAAAAAAAAAATTTTTTTTTGAAAATTTTCAATTCCACATTAGAGTAATCACTTTTTGACAAGTTCAATTTACAAAATTTTATTGTAAATCCATGTTCTCAATCACTTTTCCCGCCTTAACGCCTTCGGAATTCTGCATTGTTTTGAAAAAACAAAACAAAAACAAACCCCAATACTTTTAATACGATAATAATATACGCAAATTTCGAGTTTGAGTAATCACTTTTTGCTTCCCTTTATTTTTGCTGATTTCATATTAAATCTAAGCGATTTTTTTACCAGTTTGTTTAAAATTTTTCACATGGTTTTTAAAATTGCTGTAAATTTAATACGATATATTATATATTTTAAATCGCATATTTAATGTTTTATATATATTTTAATCGTGCACTTTTTGACTATCTTTATTTATGTCGATTTCATACATTTTTCTGTGTGTTTGTGAAAATGACAAATTTTTCCTTAGAGATTATTACCACATGCAAGTTTTAATTTGCACATTGAAATAACTACTTTTGACGAGCTATGTTTGTATCGATTTCATCGCAAATCCAAGTTGTTTTTTTACTTATTTTTTGGCAGTTACTACTTTAGATTTCCACATGGTTTTAAAAATTCTGAGTTTTATTAAGACATGCGAATTTTAAATAACGCATTTAAATAATTACATATTGACATGCTTTATTCATGCTGATTTCATCATAATTTAAGTGATTTGTTTTTCTTGCAACTTTCACAATGTTTTCCCACGTGAATTTGTTGCTCCAATTTTCTTAAAAAACTACGATGTTACTTCGACAACCAAGTTTTTAATCGCACAGTTAAATAATCACTTCCTGACACAATTTTGCGTCATATGTCATCGTCTACCAAAATCATTCTCCCACAATTTTTTTGGCAATTAGAACCTTATATTCCGATATTCTAATACAGAATCCCGATATTTTAATACAATGTAATTGCAACATGAAGAATTCATTTATTGTTAGTAATTTTTGTAACTTAAGTGATTTTTTCAGGAAAAAAAACGAAAAACCTCTAATAATTAAAAAAAATATATATAAATAATATCTGAAGTATAATACTAAATAAATATTGAATCTCATTTTGTACTATAATGGTTTAATTTTTATCCTTGGTTTTTGTTTAAACCCTATAAGCTTTCTTCAATTAAAATATTTAATTCATATTACTCATCAAAATATGTATTTATTGATTTATTTTTTTATAATTTCATTCTGTAAAGATTATTTTTTTTAAAAGTTTGAATTTATTTTAAAATGATTTTTCGTACTAAGTGATAGGACAATAAAATAAAAAAAAATTTCTTTTACCCAATTATGAAATTTCTTTGAATCTATCAATTTCCGATAAAAGGGGAAATTTTTTATTAAAAATAGGATCAGCTTTTTCATTTTGAATGAATTTTAATAATTTAAAGTATTTAATTTTCTGAAAATATTACTGATAAAAAAAATTACTGCTTATATTTATATAAAAATTTCATTATTTGCTGTAAATCTGTCTAAACACGCTTGCCACCCTTTGTTATTCAACCTGCTGTGCAGGTGGACCTTCACTCAAAAAGGTTGTGCATCTCTAAGATGTACAGTGCGCAAAATAAAAAAATAAACCACCCAGAATAACTTTTTGTCTAATGATCAGATCTTCACCTTTTAGGTCTCAATCTTAATGGTTCAAGGGAGTGATCTCAAGTGAGTTAATTAGTGCAGACAATATTTTAAGTTATGTAATCGGACACAAAACTGCACTTTTTCTGAATAAACATACCCCCCCCTTTTTTCTCTTTTTTTAAAGGAATAGGATTTTTGACCTCCAAAATATACCGGGCACTCAGGGAAATATGGTCAAAATAGTTTGGATTGGAAAGCGGTCCAAAGTTTGGACCCCTTAATGTTAATTTTACTTTTTGCGTATTTCCCCTTATCTCGAGAACTTTTTCAGTGATAAATTTTTATTGCACAAAAATATTATAAAATTTGTTCATCCATAGATAATTCTATGCAAAAAATGGCATTAAGTAAATATTTAATATTTTCAATATTTTATTTAAGAATTGTCAAAAAAAATTGAATTATAAGGTATACACAAAAACTAATATAAATCGTATCATAAAAAAGTCACATTTTTAAAATTTGATTTCTCAGAAACTATTCCACCGATTTTGCTATGTAAAAGTACATTTTTTAAAATTACGTAAAAAATTATAAACTTTACAATTCTATATATTTTGACTATTATTAAATAAAATAATAAAAAATAATGAATATTTGTTAAAAGTTATTTTTTGCATGTAATTATCTATGGATAAATGAATTTTATAATTGCATGCAAAGATTTTTCAATTTGCTTAAAATTTTTTTGAGCTATGGTGAAATAATCAAAAAACAAATTAACATCAAGGGATCCGAACTATTGACTTGACGGAACTATAAAGATTACTAACACCAAATGGTGGCTATGTTTATTCACAGAAAGTACGTTTTTGCACCGGATTTTTATCTTATAATATTGTGTGCACAAATTAATAATCATATTTTAAGGTCACCTACTTGAACCATTAGGATTGAATCTTAGAACGTTAAGGTCCAATCATTAGATCAAAAGTAATTCAAAGTGGCCCATCTTTTATTTTGTGCACTGTACATTTTTTTATTCTTCTTTAAATTGGGTGGCATCACTTAGGCTTTCGTTATTCAAGAGGACTACTGTATCACAAGTTCCGCCTAGAATTGCGTCATCTTCGATGTGTTGACAATGCAGTAATTCTTCCTTGAATTCCGGATGTTTCCATTCAACACATTTTGTAATATTTTGTTCAGTAGTGATTGTCATGGTAACTTCACAATTTTCAAATAAACTTAAAACTTTAAGAGCAAGAATGCAATTTTCTTTAATTTTATTTGATACAGCTGAAAGCATTTCGAACTGGTTCGGAAAACATAGTATTTTCTTTTTTCACAATTACTTTGAAACTTATTAAATTGACATTAATTCCCCCCCCCCCAAAGCACTGCAAAGAACAATTACTTCTTTTTCAGTTTTCAGCTCCAAAACTAAGTTTGTATGTATTACCGGAATTCGAAATTCGGTATCCAGATTTGGCCAAGGCTTTGATAATTTTTTTTTAACTAGAACCTCAACAAACTGTAGAGGATTAATTTTAAAGTCAGATTTTCTTTTCAATAATTCAGAACATGCCTTGCCTGTTAAAACTTTATTTATCTTCAAATTATCAGTCATCCTTCTGTATGATTTCGAACATTCTCTTGCAAAATAGGGTTTTCTTCAAATATAACAATGCTTAGGAAATCGGCAGGCCATTTTTCTTTCTCTTAAAATTCTAACTTTTTGTCTAGCATATAGGGAGAATATATTTCAAAGCTGGATTTTCCATTTCGAAATTTGATTTTTTAAAGTTTTCTTAATGAAAATAAGTTTGTATAAGTTCATAATCAAGCCAATTTTTCTCTTTTGTTTTTTGATGTTTTGAAAAACTGTCTAAATTTTCTAGGTGTCATCTTAAATTTTTTTGACAAGAGTTCATTTACTTCACTGCAATTATTTGTGGTTTCTTCTTATCTTGCGATAATTTGGACAATACCGTATGGTAATCATATTAAATGTAATACCCACAGTTCTTTTTTAATTACAACTAATTTTTCCTGTCTGTAGAATGGTACCAGATATAACAGTGGTTACCAACTGGCGGCTCGCCAAGCCTTTTTTGTGGCCCGTGAGCTGAAGTATATATAGTAGATGTCAATATAGTAGTTGTCATTTTTTGCAGACAATTTTCGTAAAAAATCTATACGGGTTTAGAGTACTTTTCTTTGTAAAAAAAAAAAACCCTAATTTTTACGTTTCTATGAAATTTAACATACCAACGCTGCAAAGAATTTATTTCTCAGGTAAAAATCTACTTCTTATTTTAATTTGTAATTCAATACTTTGTTTTATACAACTAGATAAAAATCTGACAGTAATATTCAATGTTCCTTCAAACATAAAAGAGTCCTATATGAAATTTTAACAAAGTTGCGACCCGCCATTTGACTGGTGTTTTTAATTGCGGCCCCTGGCCTTATGTAAGTTGGAAACTCCTGAGAAAAAAGTTCATATTACACACTTTCAGATCAAACTTTTGTAGAATATTAGGAAGTCTCACTTTCAGTTTAATTAGAAGATAGGTTTCCCTTCTCTCATTTTCACTAGGTTTTGTTTCATTTTGTAGACACGATTTCTCTAATTCAAATCATATTTTTTGAGTTCAATTTGTTTTTTAAGTTTTCATTTCTTGAGTTTGTTGTATTGCTCTTTCTATTTTCTTTTTATTCCCTATTCCGATTCTGTTCTTGAATTTCTAATCTATGTTTTCTTTCTTCTTTCAGAGGACTCCATAATCTTTTCACAAAATCTTCATCATAATTTTAATTTTTCACTCTGCATATTTTAAGTTTGAATAATTTCACATTTGCAGCATTCACTATACCCATTTCAATAGCAATAGCCTGTCTCTTCTACGAAATACCATCTTTAAATCATTGAGATCAAATATAATTAATATTCAAATAAATTTATAAAAAAATCTGTCGGCTATAACAGCAAATTAACTGCAGTTTAATTTCCATAGACCTCAGAGCAGATAACCCCACTCCTCACTGGTCAGAAAATTGAAAACCTTTAAGGAGGGACGTAATACAAAAATAAATAAAACGATTGCAGCATCACCTCTGATGTAACACAAAGAATGAACAAAACGATGAATTCTGATATCACAGTAAATGAAAGATTCCATGAATTTTTTCCCCTATGTTAATAAAAACCACTATACAGTAGCATCTTCAAATGACTAATCCAGTGTTAATGGCAAGATAATTACTAGAACCTGATCTTTCAAAAAACAGACACCACAAAAATTAAAAAAATATCACCAAATCTAGAATTTATCCTTTATCTCCTCTGCTTATGCACAAAACTTTTTACAAAGAGTAAATGCCGATTCATACAGGATACGATTTACTCACATCCAGTGTGAATGAGTCGAATGAGAACCAGATAGGTGGAAAATATTTAGCTGCAAAAAACTCATCAACCAGATTTGCATTAAAAAAAAAATCGCAGCCAGTGTGAAAGGCTCTTAATAACATAACGCGTACTGGAGATTGTTAAAACACCTTAGTGTGAGGATGGATGGGACAGTCGAGATCAACTGTTGCAGTTTTGCTTATATACATTTATTTGCCTTAAAACAGTGGATTAATTAATTTAAAGTGCCAGTATAATATTATAAAAGACAAATAGTTTTAAAAGTAAGTACAATTTCACGCAGTACTACACTGTTCTCAATGTAGCAAAAATCAAACAGTAAATAAATTAAGTTAGTCACAAAATGACTAGTGAGGAGAGAAAATAAGTTCTGAAAATAATTATCTAATTTGATTACCTTTTTCGGTTTAGAAAATACTGGATGACATTCTTCAAGTTCTTCATTCACAAACAGCATCCCGACTGAGGTGTCGATACGAGATCTAAAAAAATATTTCCTTAAAAATAGCATTTCTTCCATAAAGTGGACATACCAGTGAATGTTATTTAAATAGATCACAATGGTTACATATTTTCAATCAGTTTTTCCAATTTTAATTTTACAAATTTTTTTAACTTCAATTGAGATCTGAACACATGCAGGTGTTAGATTCTTAAGACAATTTTTATCTAAATGCAGAAAAATAGAGGCTAATAAACATTTATTAAAAGAAAATCTAATAATTATTAATTTTTCAAAATTATTTCTAAAGAATTTATTTTTCTTCATACATATCACAGTAGTATAAGAATTTGGTAGAGGAGTCTAAGAATCACAGTTCAAAAAAACCCTTAAATTTTTTTTTCCTCCCTAAATCAGGTTTTTTTGGTCTTTTTAAAACAATACATCAAATAATATTTTAAGCCTTAAATTGAAATTAACTAAACTATTTCATAGTATTTAACTTTTAATTAATATTTCAATAAAAATTCAAAAATATCCACTTTTGTTTCCTTAAATGTTAACATAATAATAATAATAAAAAGAACTGAATTCTTTAATTACTTTTCAACTCAACCTAACATGCAAATGAACAAATAACATTTAAATATCATTTTAGCAATATATGTTAAAAAAGAGTGATTTCTCCCCTTGCTTGTCAGTAATATAAAAATACAATATTTCAGAATTATTTATTTAATATCATTATTTAGCTGCTAACTATTAGTTATAGTTACGAGATTGAAAACACAGTGTTTCATTAGTTATTTAAAATTACTAACAAATAGCAGAAATATAATAAGTAATCCGCTAAAATGACAGAATGAACAATACGACTCTTTGGCTTTTCAGTGTTGTGTGGTAATGTACCCAGTAGGGATACATTTAAGGAAATCAGTCAACTGTCGGAACTTCTATCTTGCTTAAAGTTATAAAATTGGACAGAATTAGTTAGTGACTAAGTCAATTTGATTTGTCCTCATAACTTGAATTATGAACCATAAAGAGAACCAGATTTAGTCAATTAAGATTTATATATCCAACTGATATGAGTAGTCAAGTTTTCCAAATAATAGGAGTGACCGGGTTTGGCTCATTGAATATATTGCGGTTAAAACATGGTCAACGTTCTGCAATTCAAGATTGTTGTAAAGTTTATGTCTCATTTCTTTAATAAAACTATTTAAAAAAAATTAATATTTTTGGAATGTAAATACAATAAGTATTAAAGCTAACATATTTGTCCGAAGTAAATTATTATATTATGAATTTTTTATTTCAATTATTTTCAAATCAAATCATTAAGAGATAAATTAAAGTTTTAGAACGACAACTCTGAATTAACACAAGATTTTTTTCTTCATTTGCTAAATGTTAAAATAGTGAAAAGTTCCTCACTTTGCACTATTTTTAAAGTCTTGCCTTTCAATACTAGTAAGTTTTCTTCATAAATAACTTAGCACGAAAATTTTCACAAATAATGAAATACCATAACATGTTAAATTTTTTATGCAATTAGTGGATGGTTCCTCAGGTGAAAAAGCTCAAGATCAAAATTCTCAATTCAACTTTAATCCTCATTAATTTTAATGAATAAAAGTGTGACTAAAATTTTGAGGTGATGAAGCATTGTGATTGTTGACTGCTCTGGACCCAAATGAAAATACGTTTTTAGTGAATAATCCATAAGTCAAGTTCAAAGATTATGGTACTGATCTATAAATAGAATAGTGCAAGAAGATTTGTTAGTTACTAGGATGATGGTGCTTCACCAGTGATGTAATTAACAAGAGAAATAATATTCTATTTTACTATCAGAGAAAAAATTCTGGCAATATTTAGTTGGTCCCCATAATCAGCAAAATTCAAGAAAATTTCCGGTTTGATTCCAAATAATGTAAAATGAAGCCTGAAATCGAGAATCTCTTGCAAAATGCAGCAGAGTTGCACTTGACAGGGATGAAATTGGCCAAAAGGCAAAAAGCTGAATTTTCACGAGAGTAAATACGTGATTTATAGCAAAAATATTAGTAACATATTCTCATCCAGTTTCACTGATGTTGCAGATATTGCCTATGTATAGCAATAATCGTTGATAGAAAAACTGCCACCCTTATAGTTACTAATACAAGAATTTTTTTATTTTTTTTACAAGAATGGCGATAAAGGATTTTAAAATCGCATAAATACAAACATCAATCTTTGATTTTAAAATCATGTGAATATAAATCACGATATTGAAATTACATGAATGAAACTCAATATTGGAATTTAAAAATGTGAAAATATAAATCATGAAGTGTAATTTTTTGATCGCCCAAATACGAATTACGATGCATAATTTCTAAATGGTTTGAATATGAATCCAAAACCCAATTTTTAAATTCCGTGTAAATACGAAAATAGATGTTGGACATTACAACCACAAAAACCAATCATGACATTGGATAAACTTGCGTGAATAAGAATGGTTATGTAGAATTTTAAAAACGCTCCCATATAAATTGCGATATTGGATTTTTAAATTTCGGAAAATAAGGATTGCAATGAACGATATTGAAATTGCGTGAATAAGAAACGCATCGTGCAACTTTTAAATCAGGTAAATACGAAAATCGATGCCTGATATTAAAATGCAGTGACGTCTGGATTACGAAAATACGCGCTATCTAGCGGACGGGTAAAAATGAAGAAAATCTTATTTTCTGCTTGTAAAAGCTGATATCTAAAATAATTAGATATGCGGAAGGGTTAGTAGCTACGTAGATCGAATTTTCCATATATTTCCTGATATATTATATCTATATATCAAATTGGAAATAAATATAATTATTTTATTTCAACAACTGACTTTTAAAAAAAAGCTGAATATTTATAAAAAAAAAAACCCCCAAAACTTTTTGAGAATCGGGGTTTTTGATAAAAAGGTGTGTACATAAGTGAATTAATTGTAATTAATAAGGGCCATGATAACAAAAATATTCGTCATAAAATGTTGTAAACAAGTATCTTAATAGTTTTTTATTATTAAGGAAAATAATTACTTCAAAATTAATGCTTCCTTTCTTTCTTTTTCTTCCCTCTTATAATTAATTTAAAATAAATGTTTTAAAGTTTAAGTATATTCCCAACTAAATCTTATTTTCTGCTAAAGGGGTTTTGTTTCAATTTCAATCATTTTTAACCCTATAAATTTTCTGTAAACCAAAGTATTTAACTTACATTTATTCTAATAACTAGAATATTTTTTTAAAATTTAATTCTATGAACAAATTTTTTTAAAGTTAACATTTATGCTTAAATGGAGATTTGTATTTTGTAATATGATTACAAAAAAAACATCAATTTTCCCATAGTTTTTTAATTATTTAAATTTACCTAAATTTTTTTCTGATAAATTTATTCTGACTTTCGGATTCTGTTTGTTTTTTTAACATTTAATTTTATGCAAAGATATTACAAAGTTATCTTACAAAAAGAATTTAGTGCCTAAAACAATGATGTTTTTATAACATTTACTACCTACAATTGCAGTGAATATGTCTGTCTAAATACTTTGGCATGTGACCCTTGATTGGTCAATCTGCTGTGCTTGTGGCCCTTCACTCAAAAAGGTTGTGCACCCCTAAAGTATATAATCAAAAAGTTTTTAAGCTTGCACTATCAGATACTGCAACATTTACAAACATTAAATGAAATAAAAATACGTTGGTACCAAAATTCAAATCTTTTATTACTTCTTTATCTCATTTATTTTAAAATCTGCATTTGTATTCATAGAAATGGGATGTTTTGTATACACAAAAAAATCAGTAATATCAAGTCAAGTGTTTAAAAATGAAAAGTTGGTTGTTGATACAAGATTTCAATTTTATAAAAACTTAGTCACATTGGACTATACTTTAAATATCATTAATTTCATAAAATATGAAAAATCAACATAATAAATAGGCATACCAAGCAATGTATCTACTCATAAAGAATCAAATCATCATCTTTACAACGCATGGAAAATAGAGAACAATGCAGAATCTTCTAAAACACATTGACAAATATCAGTGGCAGAAACTGTTTTACATCAAATAACTAAATTTCAATTGAGATTAAGTATCAGATGTTTACACAAAACATTTCCCATGTTTATATCTTTACTTTTATTCGTTTCATGTATGCTAGAACAATGTTACCCAAAACAGGAAGCTGAAATATTTTGTAGAGTATCGAACTAAAATAAACCATATGCAACATTTGTTTCATAATTTTTTTTATAAACTTTCTATCAGCTACTAGGTGCACTCAGAAAAAAGAGTCATTCATAATATCAGAAACATATAATACTTCCATCATGTTACAGCCAATATATCTGAAGACTCTGAAATATTTATAATCATAATTTCAAACCGTTTGCTTTCACAGTAACGATTCATTTCCCAAAATTGACAAAACATAAACAATCACAATATACTAAACGCTTGCAATTCCTGTCACCTGCCGGATATTATAGCTGTTGCCATTAATTTTGAAGGTTAAGATTGTTTCATATTTAAAAGGGAGGGAAAATTGATTAGTATGTTACTCTACAAAATGGATCTTTCAGAGTTCAATTCTGAGTCTGTTCTCTATCAGGGGAGCATCCTTACTGTATGCGACTCACGCATGCGCGAGCAGTTCTTCTTATGAGCGATTCACACTGGACGCAAAAATTCGCCTTTGCTGATACGGAGATAAAATTTGCTTGATTTAGAAATGTATTTTTAAAAAAAAGGTGTCATGGCTGCTAGATTTAGAAAGAACTCGCTTTTTTGGCAGTTCTAATTTGGCCTCTTTTTACTTGTTTATTACCGTTTTTTCTAGGGGCAGGCAGTGCACCATCATACTTTAGTGTTAGCATATTGTTCGAGCAGCGAGATAAAGTTCATTTAACAAATTATCATTTAGGTTTAAATTTCAAGGTTGGTATATTGTTAAAGGTACAAAGTGTATTATAACGATTATTTTTTCAAATGATTATTCTTAAGCCTTGAAATGACAGTTCTTCAATACACGTATACAAGAAATATTACTCAAGAGAGCTTCAAAACCCAGCGATCACGCTCTGAGACAAATAGCTTCGAAATACACCAAAAACAGTAACCCGGAAGTATAGACAGTCAAGACAATCATTGCAAAATGTTAAAAAGTTTTAGTCACGATAAAATCCAAAGTGAAGAGTTTTTATAAATTATATGTATAAAACTACGAATTTCAGAGTACACTGTCGAATGTAGGAAAAATATTACTTGCCTACATTACAAAAAAATTCTTGTAATTATTCTTGTAAAAATTCTTGTAATTGTAATTATCTATTATTACAAAAAAATTCTTTTATTACCAAATGCTAATAAAAGAATTTTTTTGGTTTTTAATTCTTTTATTACAAAATTTTGTTCGCTACAGAACAAACCTTCAAACAGAATATTTGAAATTTTTTCCTAAATTACAAATTTCTTCTAAATAAATTTTTATAGTTTAAGACTTCTTTCTGAAATTTTTTGAAAATCATACTTTATTCTTGATAAAATATTTTGGTTGAACTATTTACCTGTGAAAAAGAACTATTTAAAATAATTAACATTTGAAAAAATGAATTAAGTATTTTTTTTTATAAATCGGGTTTTCCTTACCCTGTTCGGTATGGCTCACCAAACCCCCAAAACTGCTTCACTCCGTTAATTGAATTTCACTTCTCTTACTTCTTCCGCTTTGGCCTTGTTTGAACACCTTAGATTTTATTCTTTAATGTTTATTAAGCTTTGTTATATAAGAGTCTACGCCACCTTCTCGCAATTGTACATCAACCCTTGAAACGGCTTGTAGAGTTTTTTTCTTTTTTTAAACTTAATCACAATTTTGGGGAGGTTCTGTTTAAAAAAAATTAAGCTTTTGGAGAGGTTTGATATTCGTTTATAAAAAAATGCGACTTGACATTTTAATTGCTCTAAAACTAATTAGAAACTTGAACAATGTACGACGTATATTATCTACTACAAATAATACTCTCTTAAAATAGTTCTCCCCAAATCAAATTAGCCGGTGCTATAAAAAATCTTAAATTTTGTCATAAAATAACTCAATAACGAATCTATACATACAAATATTTCAGAACTAAAATGGAAATTCACGTAAAAATCGTTATTTCGATTTTTTTTCATTTAATAAATTACTAAGCAACAAGAAAGAAAACAAAACTAATACCTACACAAGTTAAGAATAAGAAATCAAATCGAAAAGGAAAATGGAAGGTCATATCTCAAAATGGAATCAATCAAACACAAATGCAAACTCAAATCAAAATATTGCAAAAGAAAGTAATAATGAAAAAGTAATTTTTACCCGGTAGCAAATACACTATAATTATCAAATTCACCATAAAGGAAAATTAAATATAGCATATGTACGTTTAAAAAGAGGAGACGGAAAAAATAGTCTGACAATCTGGCAAAGTGTAGGCGAGGAGGGGAAAGGAAATGAGCTCTTTAGAAGCAGACTCTCCTCCGGGATGTTTCCCAGACCGTCGCCAATAGCCCATTGTGCAGCTTTAGTGCGACGTAAATTAACAACAACAACAACAAGAAGCAGACTCAGAAATGCTAAACTCTGGATATTAGTTTATATAAATATTAATATTGGCCATATATAAATACAGATATATTATAATATTGTATAAATATATAATATATGCATATAAATATATATGATATGAATATGCCTAATGTATATTTAAACAATCAGCTTTTTTTTTTAAATGAAAGATAAAATATGGTTTTAGTCTTGCCCAAAAGACGAGGATAAAATAAAGTATTCTTCATTAGGTTTTCGGAATCGTATAAGGAACACTAATATTTAAAATTGAATGACTCCGAAACTGATTAGAAATTTTAAAAAAGATCAACAATATTTTTTCTTCTTTTTTTTCTTTTTTACTATTAGTCGTTATGTTTGCGGCGGGATATTGACATAAAGTCATAAACAAAAAAGATCATAATTTCTTACTGGAGAAAGTCATAATGTAATTGTTTGTTTTTGCCTAGTACTCATATGTATTTCTTTCTCAGTAGATTTTATATAGAGAATATATTCAATATTTTTATCAATTCATATGGGATCAACACTTAAGCAAGTTATTTTCTTAAGACCACCCTTACGTTTAAATTCTTAAAATCCTTGTTGAAATTAAGGCTTGTCAATCAATTTAGTATTCTAATATTTAAGCAAGAACAAAGCAAAGACACAATCGAAATATAAAGAATTAATACTGAGAAAATTGGGACTAAAATCCTCAAAATCTGTTTGATAATTAGCCTTTCATATATGTTAGAGGCATTTTAAGAAACTCTCTGCATTTCTCGTTGCAAGCGCCATATAGTTGACTTGATAATAACATAAACTTCACAATAACAACTAGAAAAAAGGAAAAAAAAACTGACACACTGCGGTAAAGAAGTGAATTGCGTTAGCCGCTTGTCATTAAACAGAAAATTAGTTTATAATTACAAAATTTAAAAGAAAAGTTATAAAATTATAATTTGGGAAAGGCAGTCAACAATTTAATAATTTTTCGCACAAGCGCACAAACATGAACAAGCATTAAAAAAAAAAAAAAAATTAAATCATAATTAGGCCCTTTTGTATCCGAGCTAATTCTTTCATAATTTTGTGGCTTGGCGTCGTGTTCACGTATATTTGAGTAATACAATGTGGCCATTTTTGAAAATTATAGGTTAACATAATAGCAAGCGATAGGTTTTTATAAATATGCAAATAACACAAGAAATCTTCAGAAATTTTTCATTGTGCTCCAGCGCTATTTTTATAAAAGAGAATATTGGAAGCGATAGTTAAAAATATTTTAGTAAAATAACTATATATAGTAAAAAAAGGAAGAAAAAGTAGATACAAATCAGTAATAAAAAGAAACAATTAAAATCTAATACTTAGCAGTCTTATTTACATACGATACGACAGACAGTCAAGGGACTCGAACTCGTCTCTTGGGATTCTGAGTTTGGTTCTTCACACCATAACACGGGACCATATTCATCTGGTTGCTTTACGAGAATTAAGCTTCCAAGTCAGTGTCCCAGTTTTGCTTGGGGTGTATGGTGGAACCATATTACATGATTCGTTGTATGGTTTTTAATGCGTCTATAATTCTGAATTTCGGTGGGGAAGTTTAGTACGCTATGAAATATATCAAACCAAATTTCAAAATTATAGGTTAATATTAAAAGAATATATAGGCCATTGCGTATAATTAGAACATGTGCTATATTATTCTATTATAAAGGGAATATTGACATTACAGTTAGGCCTTCTTTTGCCCGAAATAATTCGTCTATAATTCTGTGGCTTGTCCTGGTGCTTATTTACAATAAAGTGATAAATGTGAATAAGTTTGAAAATTATGGGTTAATATAAAAATAAAATATAGACCATTATGAATAAGCAGAGAAATAATAATAAAAAAAAACCACAAGAAAAAAAAACCACAAGGGTCTTCCACAAGTCCTCCTTAACTCCCTTATTAATAGCATGCATACTCGTTACGCTTGCTGTCTGTCTGTCAGGGGTGACCATACACCATACTAGAGGCAACACACACTGTACAAGCCTCACTTTTATTGTCATCTTTTATCCTTAAGTTCAGACTACATTGGATTTATTTGCAATAGGTCTTGCCAGTGAATGACACTTTCATTTTTGTTTTGCATACTTTATTATCGTGGAATAAGCTATATCCATACCAAATTTCATTCAGTATTCAGTATTTTTTTTTGATAAATTTGGGAAAATGTCTTCCATCTCTTAATTTTGTCGACCAGTGTAGTTTAAAAGCTATATACAGGCCTTTATGTTTATGCAGGGAGCACAATAAAAAGGGAAGTCTACAATGATCTACACTGATGAAAACAGTTAAAAGGAGGAATGTTTTTCTTTTTAAAAGGGAAGTTTGGTCTTATATATTAAGGCTTTAGGAAATTTGAATGATATTATTGATCAACAACCTCCAAACTCTCCTCGGTGGTAAAAATTGATAAACAACATCATGAGAAATTTACCTTACATTCTGGAAATAATTATGTCCAACAACGGCTTTCATTATGCTCAACTGATTCGAGGCTTTTATTGAGAGACAGCAACCAGCAGCACAAGAATGGTTCACTTTCATAAGAAGTCCCACATTTCTGTAATATCTGTGACAGTAAATCCGTTTATTTCTAATCTATCAAAAATGTGTTACCAACCTTTTAGTCCCAAAGTCTCCAATTTGTAACAATGTAGTACATGGACAGGGTATCCGTGGTATGCATGCCACCTTGTAGTACGGCTGAGTTTAAGTAGTGACACGTGAAGAATTATTAAAAAATTGAAGAGAAAAAAAAAACATACTCATATGCTCCAAACGATGTAAATCAAATTGAATTTCGGAAATTCGTGCCAATAATTTTCCAACTTTTCCTGTTTGGGCAGAGAGATATTGGTTATTAGTGTA